CTATATATTAGCTTAATGTAAAGGGATACCCAAATAAAAAAAAAAAGTGTGATGGCGTCTGTTTCAAGAGATTTACAAAGAAGGTTTTGTCAGAATCTCTTTTTGTTTAGTTTTTTTAATTTTCTCTAAAAGCCTTGGAAAAGAAAACTAGCAGTCTAGGTAAGAAGTGCTGCATTTCTGACAAATGGTTTAGGTGTTTGGTCAATCAGAGTTGACCATACTGTGCTTTTCAGGAGGCTCGTTGTAAAAACCAGAACCCAATCGGACAGAGTTTTAGACTGGGAATAAATTTGTTGCAATAAAGTACAACATGTGACAAAAAAATAAATTAAACTAAAACATGAAAGCATATTGACGCTTGTGAAAATTATGACCTTATAAAATATCAACATATTTCCTTTTTAAGCTAAATTATTTACATATATATATACAGTTTAACAGACCTTTTAATTTATTAGCCCACCTGTAAATTGTCCCTGAATCTTAATAATATTAATATTAATATTAATATTAATAGGGGGTGTTGTGGAAAAAAGATTCTGGTCTGCAAAAATATTAGTCTTTAAGTCAAACTTTTCAAAAAATGACAAAGTCTGAGATCTTCGAAGTCTTTAGACGAAGCAGTTTATTGTTACAGCATCAGTAACAACAGAGAGGTCGTTCGAGTGTCTGCCGAACATAGGCTTGCATACAGTTTAAATACATCTCTGTGTCTTAATACTCCACCCTAATTTACACATTACACACCTCCATCAGCTCCTCCGCTAATGGGATCTTAACTCTCTTAGGTGCCCGCCACCAATAAAGTCTCAGGGTCTTTTAGGGGTCTTACCCATGTCCAGTTAAGGTCTTTCCTTCCTGCTTCAAAAGCGATGACTCAGCCAAAAAACAATGCTCAACAATACATCTTGTTCACTGAACTGTCAACTGTAAGTTCAGCTGAAGTTCATAAGTGCTCATAATTCTTTAGATGTCAGTACAAGTGTGTGGGCACACGTGCAGGTGTGCTTTATCATGAGTTACAGAACAGAACGCAGGTGTCCTTATGGCCTTGCTTCCATAAATCAACCCTCATTGTGACATTAATGCTGCTCTTCTAATTTATCTTCTCATCTCTGACTGCATTTACACAGAATTACTTTTTTATTTACCAAAGCACACATACCTGATAATAATGCCACAGGTATGGGTAATACTATAATAGATAATAATACTGAAATCACTCAAATAAGCATATAAATGAGAGTAATACATTCATCAGAAATTCATCAAGACACAATGAAATCCCCAACAGGGGTTAATAATATTAACCTTAAAAGTGATTTTAAAAAAAATTAAAAACTGCTTTTTATTCTAGCCAAAATAAAACAAATAAGACTTTCTCCAGAAGAAAAAATATTATAGGAAATTCTATGAAAAAGTCCTTGCTCTGTTAAACATCATTTGGAAAATATTTAATAAAAGACAAAACAAAATCACAGGAGGGCTTATAACTTTGACTTCAGCTTATTATTACTACTAACTGTTGCTGTCCTTGCAGATATGTTCTGGATGATGAATACACCAGCTCTGTCGGATCAAAGTTTCCAGTGCGCTGGTCACCTCCTGAAGTCCTCCTTTACTGCAAGTTCAGCAGCAAGTCAGACATCTGGGCATTTGGTGTGTCACAGCTACATTTTCAGCATAGATTACCTTCAGTCAATAAAACAGTGCTAATTATTGTTTATTATCTCTCTGACAGGCGTTTTGATGTGGGAGATTTACACTCAGGGCAGAATGCCGTACGATCGGTGGAACAACACAGAGATTGTGGAGAAGATTTCTGCAGGACACCGGCTTTATCGTCCACAAATGGCCAATGAAAATGTCTTTGCCATTATGAACAGCTGTTGGCATGAGGTATATATAGCTGTGTGTGTATACTGAACATTTTTTTTAATCTAATATCTTATCTGATAATTCAAATGTGATTTGACAAACTAAAGAGTTTGCCCTTTTTTGCAGAGACCCGATGAGAGGCCCACGTTCCAGGAACTTGTTGGGGTCATCAAGGATTTGCTTTTCAGTATGCAAGAGATATAACTACTGTGCATCTGTAGACATGAAGGATACAGTCCACCTAAAGCAATCAAGAATCATTATGAAAGCTGTCTTGAATAACCTTCTCAGTTCATTTCTTTTACCTGAGAAACCCAGTAATGTGAACGATGAGTTACATACGTTTTCATATATTAGTGTAAGTTTGAAACATTGCAAAAACAGGAGATTGAAATGTGATTTCTCATTAGATATTTCACCCCCCCCCCTCCTCTTCCTGCATTTTCCTCAAAGCTCTGCTGTATTTATAAAATTTCTTTCAGTTTCATCTAAAAATAAAATGTACTTTTTAATATCACAATTATAATAACAAGCAACATTAACAGTAAAAACTACGCATGCGTATGCATAATGCCTGTGTGTTGATTTTTGTTGATTTGGCTGTGTATTGATATACTAAATATATAAGTTTAACTTAGTACAATGTAAAACAAAGTGTGATCTAGAATAAATCTAGTGTAAATATATCTGTGTATATTTTATTAAAAACATTCTCTCCTGTGAATGAAATCTGAGGGGTATTTAATTAAAGACTACACTTCATCTTCTTCATTTAGCTGTGTACTGAATAAAATAAGAGCAGTTTCCAGTATTTGACTGGCTTTTTATCACATTTCTATCACTTTATTCCATTAAAATTGCATTATGACAGCAAACACACGTTTGAGGTTGTTTTACACGGCAGCATAATTTGATAAACATTATCCTACATTACATAAAAACTAACTAACTGTAAAATGGCCTCAAAAATAATCCATTCTATCCATGTTACACACGTTTATTTTATGTCATTTGACTTGTATGATGGGCGAGGTAGTGGCGCAGTAGGTAGTGCTGTCGCCTTACAGCAAGAAGGTCGCTGGTTCGAACCTTGGCTCAGTTGGCGTTTCTGTGTGGAGTTTGCATGTTCTCCCTTCCTTCGCGTGGGTTTCCTCTGGGTTTTCCGGTTTCCCCCACAGTCCAAAGACATGCAGTACAGGTGAATTGGGTAGGCTAAATTGTCCATAGTGTATGAGTGTGTGTGTGGATGTTTCCCAGAGATGGGTTGCGGCTGGAAGGGCATCCGCTGTGTAAAAACTTGCTGGATAAGTTGGCGGTTCATTCCGCTGTGGCGACCCTGAATTTATAAAGGGACTAAGCTGACAAGAGAATGAATGACTTGTACCATATTGATTTTAAATTCATTCATTCATTTTCTATTTGGCTTAGTGCCTTTATTAATCAGGGGTTGCTACAGCGGAATAAACCGGAATGAAATTATCCTGCATGCGTTTTACGTAGCAGATACCCTTTCAGCCTAAACCCAACACTGGGAAACACTCAAACACTTTTGCATTCACACCCACACATACACTATAGCCAATTAAGCTTATTCAATTCACATATACCGCATATCTTTGGACTGTGGGGGAAACCAGAGCACGCGGAGGAAACCCACACCAACACGGGGAGAACATGCAAACTCCACACAGAAATGCCAACAGGTCCAGCCAGGGCTCGAACGAGTGACCAACTTGCTGTGAGGTGACAGTGCTAACCACTGAGCCACCTTGCCACCCTGTTTAACAGCATTTGTGTGAAACAATCCAGACTCCAATGTTTATACTTACATCATGACCTTGGCCTCTTCAATAAAGTCGTCCTCAGACATCTTTGACCATTTTAATGGCCACGTCTTGACGGCCTTTCCCATACTTTACCACACCAAACTGTCCATTTCCAAGTTCTCTGATAAATGTAAGCTGGCGTGGATCGATCTCCCAAGATCCTAAAATGACAACAGGAGGAAAAAAGCAACCATTACCGCACAAATTTTTATTAAAAAATATAACAGTCAAGTAAATGCATTTTGTAAACATATACATGCAGTTCTTGGGGATCCGGACGACACACAGACATAAAATTGGCGTTAGACTCCAAAATCAGACTAACTTTGGGTTTTGGTTGTAGCCTATATGAAAATTGTGTTGACGTCAGAACCCAACATCAGTTTTGAGATCAGACTTCAACGTCAAGATACACAACACAAAATCAATCAAAGGTCAATGGCTAATGATGTTCATGCCACCTCTAGCAAGATGCCGCCCATGCAATTGCCCATGCCCAAATCTGCCACTGTATGTGTTTGACAGCTTGCTCCTTTCACATATAGTTTAGCTTACGTTTAAACTCAAGAAAGCAGCAGAGGGGTTTCACAAAAGATAAAGTAAACAACTGTAAAATGGTCTAAAATATCTATCCATGTTGCACAATTGCATTTTATATCAATTAACTGTTGTTTAAAATGTATAGCTATTTTAAAAGGTATAAAGTAATTTAAACATTTGATATTAACCTTTATTGTGCATACTTAGACTGCTTACTGCTTCTACATATAGTTTAGGTTTTGTTTAAACTCAAGAAAGTTGCACAGGGGTTTCACGAACAAACTAGAAAATTCCCCACCCACCCTAAAACGCGTTGTAAAATGCACAGAGAGGATTTGACAGCTCAGAGGTTAAACAGCAATATCTGGCAACATGCTTCACATTCACTTCTTCCAGGAAGTTTATTCACACAAGACTTAAAACGCCACCGATGGACGAAACTAAGGCAAGGTTGGTTGATTTAAGAATAAAGTAACATGTATTTCTTTTAAAGGTTTTAATAGTACAGCTTTGAATGTGATTATAAATAAGCGACGTAACGTAAAACAACAACAGCAGCTAAGCAAATCCCATTAAGCTTATTTCGCAAAAAAAAAAAAACTAAAAACCGTTCTCGCTTATAAATATTAGTGATTAAAGCATTCACTGCAGTTATAAAAGTTTAATGGAGATGGACACAATTGTTTTGAAGAACTAACGACGAGAAAAGCAGCAGTGAGTCACATGATTTTCTTTCTTTTTATCCTGTCAGTGTTTTAAATCGTGATATGTTCCCTACATAGACATCACTGAGACGCGTTCTATCGTTTCATATGATGGTCGAAATGCTACCTAGGTAGGCAGCTCGCTAGGTTTTTAGATAGATTTCATCGATATAACTTTAATATCTTACGGGATTTTATTCTAACTGCATTTAGATGGATGTTGCAAACCGCTCGGACTTTTACATTGGTCTGGCGCTTGCTGTAAGCTCCACTATCTTCATCGGTGGCAGTTTTATATTGAAAAAGAAGGGGCTCCTACGTCTGGCATCAAAGGGGTCCACTAGAGCAGGTGGGTAAAATGCATGTTTCCCTTACATATACAATACTCTTGTATATATGAAATGCATTGATTTTTGTTTTGTTTTTGTGTGTTTCACTTTCAGGTCAAGGAGGATATGCATACCTAAAAGAATGGTTGTGGTGGGCAGGACTAATATCAAGTATGATATAATTGTTCTATGTTTTTATTTACCATTAATGGAGATTAATTATAATGTTTAAACAGAATATGTTTTCAATCAGACGTTGCATGTGTCCGTGATTGGGGATTTCAATAATGTGATATTGGTATCTATGCATTAATATATTATTATGGACACCACAGCAACTTTTTGTTTGTGTGTGTGCGCATTTCATTTTCAGTGGGAATCGGCGAGGCTGCAAATTTTGCAGCATATGCATTTGCACCTGCCACATTAGTAACACCACTGGGAGCACTGAGTGTATTGGTCAGGTAAATATCTTGATTTATAATATTGCAAAATATTTAATTCTTTCTGATTTGATCAATTTTACAGTTTACTTTTACACTAATTTATTTCTGTGTTAGAAAAGATGAATCTTTTGTGTCGCACAATTCTTCAAAAATCATTGCAATAGATCACAATAGTTGGTTTTTGGAAGTTAAAACCTCCTTCATATCCTCCAGAGGGAAACTATTTAAAATAACTGTTCATTCTTTAAAGAAAGACCAGCCATGAATTAAAAAATCTATGCTACCAGCTATGTAAAATATTATTTGTTGTGTTTTGTTTTTTTTCAGGATTTTTCACTAAATAGAAAGCAAATACTGTATTTGTTATTAATTACAATATTTTGCCAAACTCTGTCGATCAATAAAATGCATGCTTGCAGGTTAAATGCATTAACAATCATTTTTATAAGCCTCGTACAATCTCAAACAACATTTCATTTATTATTATTTAATTTAATTCATTTTTTTGTCAGTGCGGTGCTCTCATCATATTTCCTGAGTGAACGACTGAATATCCATGGCAAGATTGGCTGTTTGCTGTGCATCTTCGGCTCTACGGTTATGGTGCTCCATGCTCCACAAGAGGAAGAAGTTGCTTCTTTATCTGCAATGGCAGAGAAACTCAAAGATCCAGGTAATGTTCAGTTGAATGTAACCCTTTACAGTGCAGCATGTATAAGTACACCCCTCACAAATCTATCTTTTAAATTCATATTTTTAATAGTAGCTATATAATATTATATTTGTGCAAATACATTAGATTAGTCAGTACTGAAGCCAAATCTGGAGCTTATCTAACAAATAGCTTGCAATAACGGTCCAACAACTAGTACACCCACATTTATATGTTAGAAAGACATCAAGAGAAGCAAAAAAATACTCGGTTTCACGATTATCACTGTCTCTCCACTCCCCTAATAGCTGGTGTGTGGTAAGCGCACTGGCGATGTTGTCCTGTGGCTGCCGTCGCATCTTCCAAGTGGATGTTGCACATTGGTGGTAGTGTGGAGAGAACTGATGTATTTATTCGCACTTGGTCACCATATCTGGACAATATAAACCTTGCTTTATGTGACATTTTGAAACTGGGAATGACATAATGAATATATAGACATTCATTCATATGTATTCTGTTTGCATCAAACTTTTAACTCTTCCTGCCATATTGTAATATTTGTAACATAATAGCTTATGGCTTTGTCCATATGTATGTTTTAGTAAATGCAGTTATGTTTGGTGTCAGGCATTTTATGTTGTGTTTGTATTTTTGTTTTGTGTATGTCTTAAAAGAAAAAAACAAATAAAAAAAAACATGTAAAAAAAAAAAAACAGTAACAAAAGATGACTTCCCTCAAATTAGATTGTATGTTTTCTTGCACAACTAGATGTTGAACTCATGAAAAATAATTGTGTGCATTGGCCAAAACTGATTAGCTGAGGTCACACCGAAGCGACAGCCAACAGAGGATTCCTCTTGGTCTTAAAATCTTTTTTGATGAGTTATTTTCACAATTTATGATGGCAAAGCAATCAATATAGGACAAATGAGCTCATGTATGGGACGAATTCTGGACTTTTGTCAGTAGCTATGTTTCAATCCACCTATTTTATGCGCATTTTGCAAATTGTTGATGGAAACGCCATGATCCGCATAAATTTTGAAAATGCGCATAAAAAACTTATGCGCCTAACTGGGTAGGATAAACTTTTTATTCGATAAGAAAAGATGCGCATAAACTGCGATGGAAACACTTTTACAGCACAAACTCCAGCATGCGCATTAAAAAAGTTCATGTGATTTTGTTTAAAGAGATCATGTGATGCTTAAAATGTGTGTGAATGGATAAAACGTCAGGCTGAGCACATTATAAAACATCTGAAATGTTGTTTTGGTCATTATAAAACGCCTAACCGTTTCAGTATTAATGTTATTATATTATTAATGACCTCCAGAATCAAGAGCGCCTGTGCTCCGCGTCTGACACCTTCAAACGCCACTGCGCGCTCAATGCTTGTCAGGATTGTCTTCTGAGGCGCATTCATTTAGAAAAGATTGATGCAGCTTCTCCTACTGCAGCAAATGCAGTTTTTACTGTTGATATTTGGCGCCAGTTAATCAGGAAGTGACGATTTTGTTCGTTTTGACTCGTTGGATGGAAACGATGCTTCATTCGCACAACTTTTATGCGATAATTAAGTTTTGCGCATAAAGTTTATTCGTATTTTTGGATGGAAACATAGCTACTGAGGGGTGGGTCTTTCGAACCACCCGAAGGCCCCTGACTACAGGCCTGAGTTATCATATCGGCCAAATTACCACTACAGTACGCTTCTGTTTCTCATTCTAGTCATTTATTTTTTTCTCTCATGACCCTCAGGATTTATTGCGTTTGCTGTCTGCATCGTCGTGAGCAGCCTGGTCCTGATTATCTTCGTCGCTCCTCGCTATGGTCAGAAGAATGTTCTGGTCTACATCCTCATCTGCTCTGTCATTGGTTCATTATCAGTGTCCTGCGTGAAAGGCCTCGGCATCGGCATCAAAGAGCTGTTTGGTGGAACGGCAGTACTCAAAGATCCACTCTTCTGGGCTTTGCTCATATGCCTCGTGGTCTGCATCAGCATCCAGATCAGCTATCTAAATAAAGCCTTGGACATCTTTAACACCTCGATAGTCACACCTATTTATTACGTCTTCTTCACCACATCTGTCATGGCCTGTTCAGCCATTTTGTTTAAAGAGTGGCTTCGGATGTCCACTGATGGGGCTGCTGGGACTGTCAGTGGCTTTCTTACCATCATCATTGGTATTTTTCTTCTGCACGCGTTTAAAGATATTAACTTTAGCTTAGATTCTCTTCCTTTGTATCTGCATCATGGACTTCGAGGCCATGCGTATGTCGCTTTGCCCACCGATGAGAGAATTGATGAAAGCAGTCTGACTAAAGAAAGAAGTGCAACGTTTTTTCCTGACAGTTCAGATAAGAGGAGCAATGGCACCTTTATTGCCTAGTTAATAATGCTTGATGCTAGTGACTGCAGTGTGCAGCTTATTTTGCAAACCATTCACACTGTGAGGGTGCTTTAATTAGGCTTTTATTATGTATTTTTGGGGTACTTTTACATGATAAAAATTTAACTAAAATATTTAAAGTTTTCATAACCATCCATTAGAGTAACATATTAGTTAAGGGTTCCACCTCTATTATTAATAATTTATTGATAAATCAGACATCTTTCGCCATAAATAACATTAAGAAAGCCTGGGAGGAGGACTCTCAGATGATATGTGGAGTGGCGTTCTCAGTCAGGTTCACTCATTATCCATTTGTGCTCGACATTCTCTTCCTCAGTTTAAAATAGTACATAGAGCTCGTATATCTAAAGTTAAATTAGCTCAAATGTTTTCTAGTGTACTTTAATGCAGTGGTTCCCAACCTTCTTTTGCCGTAGACCCACTTTTCCTCTGAAAAAATATGTAAGCCCCCCCTCAACAATTAATGATATTATCGCTCATATAAGTTTGCAGTAAGGATGACAAAAGAATGTTGTTTTCAAACAAATGTTATGCTCATTACTATATCTAGATTTGTTTATGCACAAATAATAGCCTAATGTAAACAAAGGCTTTTTAACTGAAAAATATAAGCCTTTGGCCTTTAAATTGGCCATATATATTAGTTGCAAATTTTTTTAAAGTTTCTTGTCAGTAGCTGTGACGTCCCTTATCTTATTTTGGGTGTGCCAATTCTTTTGCCTTGCGCTCAAAAAATACTTGTCACAGTACTTAGGATGGATGAGTCGTCTGCAAATATCTTATTAATTTGGACGGCCTCAAGCATTCGCCAGCAAAAACTCTGGTGCAGATAATACACTGTGGCTGGGTCAGGAACTCTTTGCTTCGAGATAATGGAATAAAACTATAGGTCAGCTAACTATCTTGGTATTTCCTGCATTTCATGTTTCCAATATTGCTAGTGCTGCGATCCGAAATGCTTAGAGCTCCCTCACCTGGATCCAGTATGCTTGGGTTATTACTATTAGCTGCTGAAGGGAATCAGTGAGATCCTTTTTGTGGAAGATGAATTACAAATTTGTCCATTTTTTTTTTTTTGGTCAGTCAGGGGATAAAATGAACTAAAGCAACATGATCAAACACACATGATCGTGCATACATTTTGGATTTGCCCTAAATTTGAAAAGTTTTGGAGATCAATATTCGGTAACCTTTCTGTTGTGCTTCAATATAGATTAGAGCCAGAACCACTGACTTGTGGCAATATTTGGAATCGTCCCAGAAGACTCATGTTTACCTGCTTAAAAGAGTAAGATTCTTGCCTCCTCTGGAAAGAGCCCCTTCCACCCATCTTTATTCAATGGATCAGAGAGATTATGTCTTGTCTTTACCTTGAAAAAATTAGATGCTCTTTAAGAAGATCAGGTAAATAATTCTATAAGATATGGCAGCCTTTTATTAATTATGTTGACTATATTAATTAATGCCCCACAAATATAAATGCATATATATTTTTTTGTTTTGTTTTGTTTTTTACATTTACATTTAGTCATTTAGCAGACAATTTTATCCAAAGCGACTTACAAATGAGGACAAGGAAGCAATTTACACAACTATAAGAGCAACAATGAGTAAGTGCTATAGGCAAGTTTCAGGTGTGTAAAGAAAGTGTAAGAAGCAAAACATTAGTAAGTTTTTTTTGTAGTTAGTGGAGGAGTCAGAGAGGGAATTGCCTTTTAGTAAGGAAAGTGGAGACTAAATAGTTATTATTATCTTTATAAACATTGCTGTGGGGGCGACGCAGTCATGCAATTCAAGTCATTTATTATTTTGCATGTTCAATTCAATTCACCTTTATTTGTATAGCGCTTTTACAACGTAGATTGTATCAAGCAGCTTCACACAAAAGATCATGGTAAAAAGAACAGTGTAGTTCAGTTTTCAGAGTTTAAGTTCAATTCAGCATGTTCTCCCAGTGTTCGTGTTTTTTCTGGATTCAGTATAGATGAATTGGGTAAGCTAAATTGTCCGTAGTGTATGTATGGGTGTTTCCCAGTACTGGGTTGCAGCTGGAAGGGCATCGGCTGTGTAAAAACATATGCTTGATAAGTTGGCGGTTCATTCCACTGTGGCAAACCCTCAATACTAAAGCGACTAAGCAGAAAAGAAAATGAATGAATGAACATTGCTATGCTTCTCCAGATACTTGTAAATTTGGACTGATGTAATTAACGGCTATGTTTTGTTCTATTCTTGGTCAGGGTTATGGGGTTTGTGAATGGATACATTTGAAAGTTCATAAAAATATTTTAACAAAAAATTAGAAGTTTTTAGTTTGACGTAAAAGTTGACAATGTTGTCAAAATCACCAAAATGAACACTTTACAATTTGTAGAAACACCATGTATATCTGCACACATACTGTACAGTCCTGTAATCTGATATGTTTTGTTTTGGTCTATTGACCTTATTTTTCATGAACGCTTTCTGCTTTTTATTATTCCTAGTCATTCTCCTATAGGCAACTGAATTGGAAGTTCAAAAATGAGCTCACGTCCACATTGCAGAAAAAGGTCTATAGACTGAACATGTTTTTCACTAATTTGCATTTTTAAAGTTTACATGATGATGATGATGATGTGTTTTATTACCATTAGAAAAGTTTTAGCCCACCAAAATGCTGTGATCATGTAAATAAATAGCTTTAATGTATAAAGTTGTCAATCTTTGCTAGTCGTGTAAATGTACCCCTGGTATACAAGGTACCTGCTTTACATATATTCCACCTCTAATATTTATACTTTTATCTTGATGTTTTAGATTTACAAACTGTTGATATTTTCAGAGAAAGTATGAAGTGACAAGTCATGGCCGCATAGTGTTTGAAAGTTCTGCTGTTCAAAATCTTATTACAGTTTATCATTATTTATTGTTTGACCACACTGCCTTTGTTTATAATATGCATAGAATTTAATTCATAGGAAGTTTTTTTGTGTTTATCATTTGATGCCTCCTCTGTTCAATAAAAGCATGATGGTTTAATGTACTTCTGTACTGCTTCAATCATTCATAAATTTGAAGCTGATGTGTAACCCACCTGTCTTACTGCACCTAGCCCGCTTTGAGCTTGGATCAAACCAGCAATTCTTTGTATGGGAGTCGGTTCTTCAAACAAGGAGGCTAAAGACCATGGCCTCTATCGCTAGGTCAGCGGAGTGAGGTTTACCTGCATATCACTTCGCTAACTGACCTCCGTTACACTTACCCCTCTAAACCTCCCATCTTGGGAGAACCCCTACTGCACCCAACACGATCTAAGCTGTGATCGAACCAGTGATTCTTTGCATGGACGTCAGTTTCTCTAACAAAGAGGCTAAAGACCATGGCCTCTTGTGTGTTGCCAGAGAACTTTTAGAGGTCGTCAGAATGAGGTTTACCTGCATATCACTTTGTTAGTTTACCTCTGTTACACTCACTCCCCTAAACCTCACTCCTATCCCGAAGGAGCCCCCACATATAACCCACCGATCCTACCGCACTCAGCCTGGTTTGTGCTAGGATTGAACCGGCAATTCTTTGCATGGGAGTCGGTTGCTCTAACAAGGAGGCTTGTTGACCATGGCCTCTAGTATCTGTCACTGGAGCACCTTTAAAGGTCAGATGAGTGAGGTTTACCTGCATAGCACTTCACTAACTGGACACATATACATATTTTGTATACCAACACTGCATTCAGATGATTTAAAATGCAATAAAAAAATAATAACATTATGAAAAAACATTACCATGCTATTGTTTTAATATATTTTAAAACACAATCCTTTGATATTAAAGCTGAGTTTTCAGCCTCAAGTGTTTTCAGAAATCATAAATGCCTAATTTGATGCTCAAGCAACATTTATTATTATTATCAGTGCTGAACACAATTCTCATGCCTACTTTCTAAAGAAAAAAAACTCTGAATGCTCAGAACACTCATGTTTATACTTGGAAAAGGTGAGCAACAACTCAAACTCTGCGGTGGCTTTCGATTATATATATATCTGCAGCCCCTGCTATGCCTGTTTTTAAAAATAACGCTCTGAAACCTCTTAGAGGTTTTATTAGCATTGAAGGAGCTTATATTAATAACTGCAAGGGCTTTTTTGTCTTTATTTTAAGTCCACATTTCAACACACTGAATAAGCCACCTATCTTGATCATGACATTAAGCACACTGTAGACTTTGTATGTAGCTTGAAGACAATGAAAACAAAGCCTCCTCTTCAATTCCTTTCTTTCAGATGATGTTTATTTGACTTGACACCAAAGTCTTACACTGCCAAATGTCAATACGGTGGTGAAAAACAGGTCTTGCTGTGGGACTGTATGTGCATCCATTTCATATTAGAATATATATATTGCCTTCAAAATAATAACAAAGAGAGCAGACTGAGGCACTTTGTCTTTGAGTATTGAACTGAATCCTGTCGCCTCTCAGTTCTTACACTGGCATGTCAAAGCCTTGATAAATGGCTGATGTAAGTTCCGCATTGGCTGAAGGCTAGTCTGTCATGGTCTCCGAAAAGGCTCCTCTACTCCTCTGAGTTTGCTCTAGTCTGTTGAGGATGAACTGGCTTGTGTCGATGAATCGCTCCACACAGTTTACAAAACACACCTCTGTCCTGGAGTCCAGCTTGGGACCAGGTTTATCCATGCACTTCTCCTGCAAACACAAACACACAGTGAGATCCAAGGAAACTCTTGTATGTAATTTCATCAAACCACACCAATAAGTTTTGTATTGGAGTACACAACTTACAACTATGATGATGAAGAATTGCACTAATTCATTATTAATATAATAACAATGTGTAATATATACTTATGTTAACATTTTATTTCCAATATATATTTGTTTATTTTTGGATACATGTAAAATGCAATAAAATATTTGTTTCACTAAAGTACATTTTTTTAAAATACCATCTATTTGTCTATCTTTGACATGGACATATATATGTACTATGAAAATAATATAAATATACAGACAAATATTGTAAATCTGTACACTACAAATAGTCAATAAATTGTAAACCTTTTAGTCAACAATGTTTTTATTTTATGTCTTCATTGTTTGGAGCAGTATATCTAGGAAGATGAAATTGTATTAATCACTTCATCTGATGATATATTAAATGACTTAAGGAACGCAATTCAACCCCAAAATACTAGTTAACTGTAATTTTTAATCTTACTCTCCTGCGATTCTACAAGCCATTACATTTCACCCACAATTCTACACTGTTAACTATATCCAGTATTGCAGGCACAAAACAATCGCTCTAAACAGTGAAATAATTTAACACTAAATCATATAGTTCTGAGGATTCATGCGACATTGAAGATTAAATAAAAATTAAACTTTAGCTGTCATATTAATATAGAAAAAATATATATATACACACACACACACACATATATATATATATATATATACACACACACATATATATACATATACACACACACATACATATATATATATATATATGTCTAATCAGACAAACACATGGCAGCAACTCAATGCATTTATGCACGTAGACATGGATCTGCTGCTGTTCAAACCAAGCATCAGAATGGGGAAGAAAGGTGATTTAAGTGACTTTGAACATGGCATGGTTGTTGGTGTCAGACGGGCTGGTCTGAGTATTTCAGAAACTGCTGATCTACTGGGATTTTCAGGCTCAACCTAGAGATGGATGTAGAGATGGGTTTATAGACAAAGGTCAGAAAAAGGAAAATATCCAGTGAGTGGCAGTTCTGTGGGCGCAAATCTCTTGTTGAGGTCAGAGGAGAATGGCCAGACTGGTTCCAGCTGATAAAAAGGCAACAGTAACTCAAATAACCACTCGTTACAACCAAAGTATGCAGAAGAGCATCTCTGAACACACAACACGTCCAACCTTGAACTGGATGGGCTACAGCAGCAGAAGACCACACCGGGTGCCACTCCTGTCAGCTAAAAACAGGAAACTGAGGCTACAATTTGCTCAGGCTCACCAAAATTGGACAATAGACGGTCGGAAAAACGTTGCCTGCTCTGATGAGTCTCGATTTCTGCTGTAACATTCAGATGGTAGAGTCAGAATTTGGCGTCAACAACATGAAAGCATGGATCCATCCTGCCTTGTATCAACAGTTCAGGCTGGTGTTGGTGTTGGCGTAATGGGATGGGGGATATATTCTTGGCACATTTTGGGCCCATTAGTACCAATTGTGCATTGAGCATTCTTGCTGACCATGTCCATGCCTTTATGAACACAGTGTACCCATCTTCTGATGGCTACTTCCAGCAGGATAACGCACCATGTCATAAAGCATGAATCATCTCAGACTGGTTTCTTAAACATGACAACGAGTTCACTGTACTCAAATGGCCTCCACAGTCACCAGGTCTCAATCTAATAGAGCACCTTTGGGATGTGGTGGAACGGGAGATTTGCATCATGTACGTGCAGCAACTGCATGATGCTATCATGTCAATATGGAGTAATATTGAATATTTCGGTTACCTTGTTGAATCTAGGAGTAAAGCAGTTCTGAAGGCAAAAGGATGTTCCACCTGCTACTAGTAAGGTGTACCTAATAAAGTGGCCGGTGAGTGTAAAAAGCGCTTATGTTGTTTTAAGGTCACACTTCCGTGTGGTTTCAGACCAAATATTCAAAGTACCATAGTAAACAAAATAAGGAGCGTATCACAAGTTGTCACTGAATGAATATGCGAATATAAAACCAACTTTATCCGATTTAAAATACAACATAATTTCCAGTCAATTGAATAGTGGCGATGTTATTTTGAAGTCATACTTCCCGGCTATTTTAGGCCGAATATTAAAAGTAGCGTGGTAAACAATATAGGAACCATATTATAAGTTGTCACGGTTCAAAAATGAGCGTATACATGCATAATGAGATGAAATGTACGCATAAGAGACTCCCTCACCCAGCAGACTTCTGTCATCTGGTGAACCAGCTGCTGAAACCGCTGCTTCTGAGACTCGATCTCGATGAACTGCTGCAGCTGAGGATCTGTCGCGACTCCTTGAGTATCCATTGGATAGAAGAACAGCAGAAAAAGCGCAGCACAAAATATCTTAATGCTAATGTCTGACTACTGTATACACCGATCCAGCGCTATCCTGACCTTCACGTGTCTTGACATACAGGAAACAGTAGAGCCAAGCACCAATAAGAACGCGTGAAATCGAGCGGAAGCGGAAAGGACTTGCTGTTGCAGGCGGAAGGTGTACTTTTGCTGTCAGAGAGCTGTACAAGAGTCACAGGAGCTGAGACGCTGGTGAGTAGAAAAATCTTTATTTGTCTTTTATTTTGACTTTAGTGAGTTAAATACGACGATAATGTTTATATTTAGCAATGTAATGTACGTCTGTAAGATTGAATTGTATATGTAAACAAAAACAGTGGGATAGAGATGAATGTCAAGCAAGGTCTTCGAGAAAGGTGTTAGCCTAGCCGCTGTATGCTTGTAAATGTGGCTAAAGCGTTTGAGTTATGTTAACATTCGCCGTCTATTAATGGTAAGAAAATGTAACTGCTCCTCAAATAATCATATATGGTTTGCTAGATAATGTACTAGTTATGTTTGATTCGTTTATTGGCTTTATGTGTAATTTAATCCACATCCAAACCCATCATACACAGATAAATAAGTTTATAAAGGGATTTTAATGTGAGTTAAAGTATCATGACTCAAGCTCTTTTCACTTGGTGTACTATACTTAAAGCCAGTGGTTCTCAAACATGATAGTATAAAATAATCAAAATAAGCTAAAGCACTTAAATTACAGTCTTGATAAATGAGGGGGAAAGTGAGGGAATGTTAAATATGAGATTTCTAGACTTCAGTAATTAGTAAAAGCTATTTTTTTTTCTATTTGTTTATATTCATTAGTTAAAAATGGAGTGAAATATTACTAATAGTGAAGTCTAAAATGTTTATTATTTGTTAACCTTTATTATTAACATTTTAAAATTTAAACGGGTGTTTAAATACCTTTGTAAAGCAACATAAAAGTAAAAAGTAATATAACCCATTCAATAATTAGTAAAAGCTGTTATTTATTAATTTATATTCATTAGTTGGAGTGAAATATTACTAATAGTGAAGCATAAATAATCATTATCTGTAATATTCTTTATTATTAACTGTAATTCATGCTAGTATACATCACTTTGTAAAGCAACATTACACAGTGTTAGGTAAAAGTATTATAACACATTTAGACTTCAGTAATTAGTAAAAGCTATTAAGTTCTTTATATTCATTAGTTAAAAATGGAGTGAAATATAACAGCCATATAAAACTCATGGGGCTTTATAGGATGCTCATTATTTGTAATAACCTTTATATATAATTTTAATTCAAACAGGCATTTATTACTTTGTAAAGAAACATTAAACACCATGTTGTGTAAAAGTAAAAAGTAATATATAATAAATGTTTGTTACTTTTACATTACTTTTAAGTGGCTTAAGATAGTATTACTTTTACCCCAGCACTAGGCATCATAAATGTGACTATTAAGCATGAGAAAATTGTAAATATGGTTTGTTTTCACAGTTCCTTAAATTTAGATTTTTAACATGCACTGTTCACCAAAAAATAAAAAGCAGTTAGCAACTGGGCATAATTTGTTGTTCAGAATACTGGTGAAATTAAATAAAAATAGACAAATGGGTATTAGGTGGAGTTTCTATATATTATAATGAACATAATTATCCCTAATAATTAAGAATCCTGATGTGCAAGCAAAATCCAGTGGTCTAGAGAATTGAAAGATGACACTTTTTTCTCTTTATTCAATTTATAGTAAGACTTTATTTTGGTGGTCCCGATTGCACATTTTGCTGACTAAAAGTTGCATTGCAGCTTCATGCCAATTAATTCTCATTTGAGTATTAGACTGTCTGCTGATACTGCTCCTTCCACAGACATTTAACTGACTATAAGAAAGTACATGTCAACTTACACTAACCCCAACCTAGCAGTCTACTAATATTTTAATGAGAATTAGTTGGCATGTAGTTTAGGGGTGACAAAATTAATTGTTTCTTTGGTGCACTGCAATGCAGACGCGGACAATTCTGTATTGGATAGATAGTATCAGTAATATCTGTAATATTTGTATCAGTAATAGATCATTTATGACTGGTTATTGCGTCCTGATATCATTTACCTTATATGCGCTATGTCGTTATGCCTTACTATGGCGAGGGAGGCAAACGCGAGTAATTAAAACACTACTTAAAAGCACAGAAACTGTGCACGATTCACTGCTTGTGTGTTTGCTGGACAGGCTTTTACTGACACTGAACAGCAGAAGCCCCTATTTCACTGCGATTGAGAAAATGAAAGTAAACTCCATTTCTCTCAACTGTGTATGGAAAGTATCGTCAATGCACTGAGATATCGAAATGAACCAAATCAATGGCTGATAATCGTAACTGATCCGTGAAACCAGTGTAGATTCACACCTCTTATGTAGATGCATTGTAACTTAAATTCAACAATATATGTTAAAAGGCCAATCAAAATAAAGTGATACCTCATTTCCCTGTCCATGCACCCTATTGTTGCGTTCTCCTCGCACATGCTGAAGGGTTAGACGTGAGGAAAGGAAATGAGGATGGACAAATATGAAATGAGAAGCACCCTTGACCATAGAAACATATCCTTACTCTAACAAACTAATTGTTTTAAACCCTACTGACTCAAACCTTGTATGTTTATTTTCTTTTAGATCAGCTGTCTTGCCACCATGGGTCTTCACTTTGGGAATCTGGCTAAGGTGAGGCATGTGATCACCTACAGTATTTCCCCATTTGAACAGAAGGCTTTTGCCAACTACTTTTCCAAGGGAGTCCCCAATTTGTGGAGGCGATTTAGGTCATCTGTATTCAAAATTGCACCACGTAAGTCATTTTAATCCAAAATTTATTTAATGCACATCTTTTTAAAATGTCTGTGTCTTGAAGGGCTGGTGTCCTGCAGAGTTTAGCTCCAACTTGCTTCAACACACCTGCCTTGACGTTTCTAGTATGCCAGTTAGAGCTTGATTAGCTTGTTCAGGTGTGTTTGAATAGGGTTGGAGCTAAACTCTCCTGGACCGAGTTTGGGCACCCTTGATCCATGCTATTGTAGGTGTAAATCATGGGTCTCCAACTCGATTCCTGGAGGGCCGCAGCTCTGCGTAGTTAAGCTCCAACCACCTTCAACTCACACCTGCTTTGTATCTAGTAGTCTTGAACACCTTCTTTGGATCAGCTGTGTTTGATTAGGGTTGGAGCAAAACTGTGCAGAGCTGCGGCCCTCCAGGATTCGAGTTTGAGACCTATGGTGTAGATTGAAGGCTGTATAAACTTCTCTACTAACCTGCGTGTGTATTTCAGCCCTGGCTCTGACGTACCTGACCTACACATGGGGCAATCATGTTCATGAAGAGTGCAAAAAGAAGAATCCCGCTGACTTCGAGAATGACGATTAAAGTCGCTCCCTTGAAGACGTCTCTTATGTAATTTGTTTCTGTACAATTCTTAAATAAAATATTGATGTGGAAATTGGCTTGATGTCATTTTTTTGGATTGCCCTGAAATGATGCATCAGTGACATTTCTCCTATTATTTTGTAGTGGTCATCTTTAGGACTGCATGATATTGTACAAATTTGTTTTTGCAATAATTTATTTTTCTGTAATAAATATTGCAATATGAATACAGTTTCACAAGATAGTTTGAATTGCACTATTTGACAGTCTAACAGTATTGAGGTACAGAAATTGAATAAATTACAATGCAAAAAAAGTGTTTCTTACTTCCTTTGTCTCATTTCTAGTCCAAATATCTCAAAAAATTCTTAGATCAAGTAAAAATATTGTTTTGTTTCAAGTTATCTGCTAGTTGAGTAAGTTAATCTTGTTTTCACTTTGAAATGTAGATATTTGGACTAGAAACAAATACAAAAATCCTACATAAATTAATTTTATTTATAAATACAGTGATTAGTTACAGTTCTGTAGCTCCTGGTCAACTATAATCCAGACTCAACATTACTTATTTTTGTGATTGTGACTTTTGTGCATGCGCACATCATGATATCAATGCTGAAATGATGTATTGTGCAGCCCTAGTCATCGTTAATATCTGGATGACTGTTGTCTGCTACCAAGTAAACTTTTCTTTTGGCATATTAATCATTTTTTGTAGATAAATGTAATTTAGGTGAACACTAGAAAGCTCACTTGTTTTCTGACCATATTTTTAAATTATTATAAATTCATAAAGCATAACTTATGATTGTGATCTGTCAGCTTCAGTACAATTTGGTATCATTTTCAAAACAGAATTTAGATATTGATATTTTATCCACCTTTGCTGTACAAATTAAATCTCTTTTTTTAACCAAGGCTTCATTTATTTAATTATAAAATACTGTAAAGCAATGTTATGAAATATTGTACCAACTTTATTTATAAGTTGCATGTTATTGCATATATGTTTATGCTGCTATACCTCCAGTGACAGGCTGTCCTATGATTGTTCAGGAATCATTCTGATATCAGGGTTTCTGCAGTCTGTTCAAACATTAAGTTTTTAAATCAAAACATAAAGTCTTTGTTGATAAAGTCATGGAATTAAGTATTGAACACATTGTAGAATATGAATATCTTTCTCAGTATTTTTGTTTTTCACAGCAAAAATAAGCCTGATTTTTTTCAGAGCTCACTGGCTCATAAACTTCATTTTGATCAATTTCATTTTGTGAATGCAAATCTTGTTTTATGGATCTATGCACATTTGCACTGGAAAACAATACCAAAATACTGATGCAGAACATTAACTTTTACAATGTGGTTATGAGTATGGCCAGACGGAATCTGCAGACATTTTTGCTATTTCTGCTGAGAATTTGGTAAAAGTCTGAGGATTTCTGCGGAATAATCTTGGGAGAATTATAACTGAAACCTTAATATGTGAAATAAAAAATATGATATTTTAAAATTGTATTTAATGTTTAAAATGTAAATCCAATTAGATTTACTTTATTTGGTAAACAAAGCAAATCTCTCAAATAATATCTCTACTAAAAGACAGAAAATAATACTGTACAAACTGCATTGTACATAAATCAGATGAAAGTTTTCATATTAGTCAATAATATTACTGCAATTAATCTAAAAACTGAATAAATATATAGATTTACACACATTTACTCAAGTAAATAAACTAAATTAATGATGGACTGAAAATCTGCGGAATTCTGCGTGCGCAGGTCCCTTGTTGGCCTAATTATGAGGCATATTTTAAAACGTATTTCAATATTTTTTAAGTGTTTTTAGTGCAATTTATTGTTTACTCCCTATAAATATACATTTGTACATATTTATCATCATTTTTTAAACTTGCTAACCTTTATCAGCCCTGAATATGGCCATTTTAGTCATCAAAAAAAAAATAATTATATTCCCTCCTGTGCCGCTGCTGACTCCGCGCATGCGCAGTCCAGCTCAGCTCCACACGGTTCCGTTCCGAAACATTCCGTTATAAACAAAACCGAAGATGGGCACCATAGCTAACCCTAAAGAGCTCATATCGTAACACCTCTAAATAATGATACTCCATTTACTTCAAGGATGTTAATAATATAAGTTACAGCAAACGGCTTTCGGCTACAGGTTTAAGCTGCACTCCACCGGTAAGTTAGCGTTTAGTGGCCGCTTTTCGACCAATTTTACGAGTGTTATAATATATTATTCACGAGGTACATAAAGCATGGTTGTGTGTCACATTTGAAAGTGAGTTCAAAGCAAGTTCAACCCCTGGGATATTAGTGAACGTGATTGTCAGTGAAGGACAGTAACGTTAATAAGCATAGCTAACTATAACTATTGTCCAAACTTGCTTCTGGGATTTACACACCATTGTGTCGATTCACAATGACTAAGCACTGGCTTTCACGTCCCTCCCATCAGTTCAACTAGTGACTGCGTTGGCCGGGGTGTTGCTTCCTGCTCATGGAGATATTAAGCCCATTGGCTCGACTTCGGTCGTCTTTTCTCAGTCTCGGACGCTCGCTGTCATCTTCCTGCAAACTCCTTGGTCGCAGCATGGCTTCTGGATCCGTCTCGCGCTTTGATTTTCTGGTGGTCGGCGGAGGATCCGGTGGGCTGGCCGGTGCGAGGAGAGCGGCTGAACTCGGTGCCACCACTGCCGTGATCGAAAGTCACAGACTCGGAGGTACCTGCGTGAGTAAAGACCATCTTGCTTTTTGCAATACCTCAATTTTACATCGGAGCCTTATCATTGTTTTCTGTAATTGCATTAGTCACATGCACACTTGCTTTGGGAAGCGTCCAGATTCAGCTGTATTTTTGTTTGTGGGATGTTTTTGTTGTCCAGCACACATGCATTTTGTTTGGGTGTACAGTTGAAGTCAAAGTTATTAGCCCTGCTGTCAATTTTTCTTTTAAATATTTCCCAAATAATGTTTACAACAGAGCAAGAATTTTTTCACAGTATTTCCTATCATATTATTTTTTTCTGGAGAGTTTTAATTTATTTGGGCCTGAATAAAAGACGTTTAATAGTTAATTTATTTATTTTTACGTTAATGCTTTTACTTTTTCGTAGGATATTTATTTATTTATTATTTTTATGCAGTATTTTAAGGGGAAAAGAAAGAAGAGATAAGAAAAACAAACAAATAAATAAAAAACAGCAGTGTGATCTAAATCAAAACAATATTACAAGTGTGCGCAGTTAAGGATAAATAGTGGACTTAAAATCAATGGCATGATGGGTCAAAGGAATTTCCCACAGAACTGACTTGGATTTATTTTTTATATATGTCCAATCTTTTCCATATGGTGTCTTTAATTAGGATTATTCAGTCCTTGACAGGAGGGGGATCTGTCCCGACCTTACAGTCTATGGTCCCGACCCATATATTTATAATTAATTTCCTCCCCAGCATCAGTAGAGGTTTTAAGACATCTGAATGTTCCAGAAAAGGGGGTGGCAGAACACCTAGAAGCACATTAATGGGGAGGCTGTAACCTTCTGTTTATGTATTATGGACAGTTTGTCACAAATGTCATTCCAAAAATCCGCAATCAAAGGACTTTCCCAAAGACAATGAAAGAACGTGCCGATACTATTATTGCATTTTGGACGTTGAGGTGAAATACTGTTATTTATTTTGCCATATTTATATGGGGATATATAGGCTCTATGTACAATATTAAACTGCATTTCTTTAAATCTGATGCAGATTGAAATATTCATGGGTAGTCTGATAATATCATCCCTAACATTTTGATCAATGTCGCATTTTAAGTTCACTGAAAAAAATGCTGTCTGAAAAATAGTTGCAAACTATTTATTTGTTTTGAATTTAAACAAACTAATTAATTTTAGTAATGTTCAACTTTATTTGTTTGTTTAAATTCAGCCCAAATAAATTGTTTACAAGCCTTCAACTTACATTTTTTTAGTAAATCTTTGAAATTTATTTTTCAGTGTTCCTACCTCATGTCTTACAGTAGATTTTTTTATTAAACAATTTGAAGGTCAATATTATTAAGCAATGTTTTTTATAGTCTACTGAGCAAACCACTGTTATACAATAATTTGCCTAATTAATTCCTCTAACTTGCTTAAATAATCTAGTTAAGCCTTTAAATGTCACTTTAAGCTGAATACCAGTGTCTTGAAAAATATCTAGTAACATTAATCACTGTCATCTTGGAAAAGATCAAATAAATCAGTTATTAGAAATGAGTTATTAAAACTGTTAAGTTTAGAAATGTGTTGAAATCTGTTAAACAGAGATTGGGGAAAATACACTCTTGGGTTAATCATTTAGAAGGGCTAATAATTCTGATATCACCTCTATATTACTGAATTGGTCAATTATTAAACTGTTTTTCTCCTCAGGTCAATGTTGGATGTGTTCCTAAAAAGGTAATATTTTTAAAAACTATTCATTAATTATTTGTTTATACATTAACAGGGCTGTGCGATTGGGGACATATCTAATTGCATTTTTTTTATCTATTTAAATTTATTTATTTATTTTTGACATATTGCGATTTGAGTTACATTTTAATTCAAGCTTCAAGCTGCTTTTAATTTCATTTAAGCTTAAGCTCAATAATCTGTAAGTTGTAGCAACAATTCTGCAACAGCTCTTAAAACCTGTTTTTGTTTGGTGTGTGTAACTTTGAAACCAAATTATTCCCATATTACAAATGCTGTTATTCTTTGATATTAATTTGTCTATTAATGCTTCTGAAGCTGCAGGCGACATAATCCCTCTTGTCAGAGCTTTGCTTTTTGTTTTCTGTTTTATTTTTATTGTGGGCGTAGTTTAGTTGCACGATTCTGATTAGGCAGAAGGAAAGTGTGCTCACTCAAGTGTGCTAATTATAAAGCCCTGGTCAGATCACACGATTATCAGATCCTACAAGTTGTAAACGACGAATGGACTTCATGACACAAGATTCAATCGTTTCTTCTTGTGTAATGTGGCATAGTTTACGACAATCGATACCATGTCTGCAATGCCTCACGACACCATTGCAGAAAGTCTAGCATGTTTAAGTTTCTGAAGTGTAGCAGACTGTTTTTGAAGCACTTCACTTCAAATGTTATTCGTTATTTTTGTTTACATATATAAGTGTTTATATTTTATAATGCAGCCTCTTGCGGTTAATTAATCGCAACGTTTCAAATTGCAATTTGAGTTCGATGAATTGCACACCCCATACATCAATCAATTATTTATTATTGATTAAGTGTAATCAGAAATTTTCAGAAATAAAATATTTAATACATTGTGCATGCTTCCAGGTTATGTGGAACACATCCACTCATGCAGAGTATCTCCATGATCATGAAGACTATGGATTTGAGGGAGCAAAAGCACATTTCAGCTGGCAGTAAGTAAGATTGTGTTTTTATTGGGGTTTCAAATCTTCAGAGTTTTTTAATGAGCGTGTGCAGTGTAGGACTGTGGCTTTAATTGTGTTTTTTTAGAATAATAATTACATCTATTTTACTAGTTTCTGTTTTTTAAATAGATAAAGTGTAGAAGTACTTGAATAAAACAAGTACAGATAACCTAATTTAGTATTACCTTTGTGGTTTGTGCAAAACACAACATTTTTATTTATATATATATACACACTATAAAATATATATGTTAATTAACAGTTTCCATATTTAGTTTTTTTCCTTTATTTATGATTGTGAATTGCATTATGGGATGTTGATCTCTGCTCTGCTGACTTTTGATGTAGAAAATTGAACTCTGCAGCTTAACAAAGTGAAATTTTAGTAGTTTGAAATAATATAATGTATAAGAAATAATATATAGAGAGAAATAAGTCTGTAAAATAACAAAAAAATGTACTAGCAGTTTATTACCAACACAGATAATATCACTTTAAACTATTCAAAATGTTATTGAATTAACTTTTTCAAACTTTTAGGTTTAAAGTTGTTGGAAAAAAGATCAAGACACCATAATGCAATTCAAAAGCTTAAATAAATATGGAAAACTGATCATTTACAGATTTTTTTTTACAGTGCAGAAGATTTTATTATTATTTGTTTAGCTAATGTTGACTGATACTTGTTAAGAAATATAATTTAATAATCAAAACCAGATTTCCTAATATGTGGTAATATCAGTTACCCACATTTAGTGAGTCTTGGTGTTATTCTCAATCACTTTCATAACACATTTGTAATTATTCTTTTGGTACAAAATACTCACTCAAAACAACCCATTCCATTCTTAGTAATTTGTTTACAGTAATTTTAAAAATGTATTAGTGAAAACCTTAATTTGTTAAGACTGTAAGTGTATGTGATGACAGCTTGGCTCAGAGGATGTTGCTTCTGCAAAATGTGGCAATTCTTAAAAAAAAAAAAACTTTTTACTGTTGTGACACTCGTGGGTGGTTAAGTTCCTACTTGCTCTGATAAATGAATGCTTTCAGTGTTTGTTTTGCTTCTCTTTTTTTGCGGTATGCAATATCGTTATGTTGACACAAAGGCATGAGATGGAGTAGTTCAGCTGTCAGGATTTTCAGTGCTGTAACAAGATAAATGAATAGAATAAAGGTCATTCTTTGGTTGTGTGTTTTTTCAGAATCATAAAACACAAAAGGGATGCTTACGTGAGTCGCCTGAATCAGATTTACAGGAGCAACCTTGAAAAGGTAAGCTGCATTAAGTTTTTTTTTTTGATCAGCAAACTAAATGTGAAGTTAAAGTAATTTATGGACGGCTAAAAAAACATTTAGCAAGTTTGCACTCATTTTCTAATGTTTTATTCTATATATTAGAGATGCCCAAAGTTGGTCTATGGTAACCTTTGATTTGGCCCGTTATTCCATGTGAAAAGTGAGGGAGAATGATGGAGGTGGTTGGTGCGAATGCTTTTGACAGGGATCGTCATTTCCAGTTTAACGTAACATTTTATTTCATTGTTGAGCTACAAGAAAAAGCAGACTGAAATTAAATTGTTCAATTAATTAAGTTTATATTGTAAGTACTGTCAGATAGAGGACAATGCATAATATATCTGTGAGCAAATCAAGATAAAGTCAAAAGCAGCTCGACTATTGAACTCCATTGTGTTATAAATGGGATTGTTGGTGTTTATTTCTGTAATATGTTTATTATTAAATGTTTCACGTGATACTGCATTAGTTAATGTGATTTAATGCAAAGTTTTCTAGTTATTTTTAAATATTACACTATAAATTAGGAAATTACACATGGCAAACTTATTATATACGGTTTGGTATATTTAGCTCACAGCCCTCGATCAAGTTTGCTTTTTGGCCCTTTATAGGAAAAAGTTTGGGAACCCCTGCTTAATATACTTCAAAATATATACTACTAATACCTGGATAAAGCACAAATAAGATAGTTTACTTAAAACTGATGTTTCTAGATGATGAAGTGCATATTACATAGTGTATAGTTTGTCACTACTACAGCTATTATATAATATAATAGCAAAAATCTCAGATACTGTGTGAAAAATTATCCCTATAATCTATACTATAATCTATAATAATACTATACTCTGAACAACATTAGTGGTAAGCTCTTTTAGTTTCTTTGTTGTAAATCTATTTGTATACACTCAGTGCACATATGTATCACAAATTTCTCTTTTATAAAATTTTATTTTCTATAGGATGCTTTACAATATTATATTTGTGCATATAAATTAGTCATAACTGAAGCTAAATCTGGAGCTAATATGCCAAAAAAAAGCTTTCGATGATGACAGTTCAATTTATTTGTCAGGGGAAAATATTAAATATACATTTTAAAAAGAGAATAATATATATATATATATATATATATATATATATATTTTTTTTTTTTTTTTAGTTTGTAGTTTTTGTACAATATTTTGCATAAATTTAAATGTTTTTTTTTTTTTCTAAAGATATCTGGTGACTAAAATATTATTTTATTGTGTATATAAATGTTTCTGTTTTGTTCAAATGCACCAAAATATATTGCCTATATTCACTGAGAAATAGATATATACATTCATTTTCCAAGCGAGGTGTACTCATTTGTTTATGAAGCACTGTAAAAACATTTTCTAAATGCATAAAAGCAAAAATTATTCAAGAACGCCAACAAGTTTCTAACATTGCTATAGGGATCTCATATGGAAAAATCAGCGTAGTCTAATGTCGTATAAAAAGTCTTGTTACTAAGCCACAGCCATATCACCCTGCAGCCCAGGACCGGTTACTCACTGAAGCCAAGCAGGGCTGAGCCTGGTCAGTACCTGGGTGGGAGGGCACATTGCTGCCGGAAGTGGTGTTAGTGAGGCCAGCGAGTTAGTGAGTCTAAGTGAGTCCTAATGACCCAGTATAGTGAAGGGGACACTATACTTTCAGTGAGTGCCATCTTTTGGATGAGACATTAATCCGAGGTCCTGACTTTCTGCAGTCATTTAACATTCCATGGCACTTCCCATAAAGAGTAGAGGTGTAACCCCGGTGTCCTGGCCAAATTCCCTCCATCCACCCTTACAAATTATGGCCTCCCAATCATCCCCACCCACCAAATTGGCTCTTTAATAGCTGGTGTGTGGTGAGCGCACTGGCGCCATTGTCCTGTGGCTGCCATCACATCATCCAAGTGGATGCTGCACACTGGTGGTGGTGTTGAGAGACCCCCTCATGATTGTGAAGCGCTTTGGTTCTATGGCCATACACAATAAATGTGCCATATAAGTACACAATACTTACTAATGATGTCTAAAATGCACAATGTTAATGAATTTGTATGAATGATCTACAAAATTGGGTTTGATGACTAAAAGTTGTTTGTGTTTGCACACAGGGCAAAATTGAGTTTATTCATGGCTATGCAAGGTTCACAGATGACCCTGAACCCACAGTTGAAGTCAATGGGAAGAAATACACAGCAACCCATATCTTAATCTCCACTGGCGGCCATCCATCCACAGTCAGTGAGGATGATGTGCCAGGTGGGTTTAAATTTCCTCATTATGGACAATGTTCTTCATTTGATTGTATTTTTATCATGTGCACTTGCCAATAACTTTTTGGATTTTTGTACAGCATCTGCTAAAACATTTTGTTAATTCAATCACCTTTTCAGGATCCAGTTTAGGCATCACCAGTGATGGGTTCTTTGAACTTGAGTCTTGCCCTAAGTAAGTCTTTATTCGTGTATATCACTATGCTCTTAGAATTTCATGAAGTAACCAGCCATTATATCCACCTAGACGTAGTGTTATAGTTGGAGCAGGCTATATTGCTGTGGAAATGGCTGGTATTCTTTCCACTCTTGGGTCTAAAACGTCCATCATCATACGACAAGGAGGGGTAAGAGACCTGTTCATTGGCACCTGCTTAAATGCTACTGCCATGTATATCCCAAAGGAAGCAATAACTCTGTTCTTTCTTTCCAAGGTGCTGAGGAACTTCGATGCCTTGATAAGCTCCAATTGCACCAAAGAATTGCAAAATAATGGTATTGACTTACGGAAAAATACTCAGGTAATTAGTACAGAGTAAGCTTACATGTTGTTGTCTCAGTTTTTAGTCTGATGTGTAAGTTTGTTTGGCAGACTTCAGTTCTAATTAGGTATATCTTACCACATCCAAATATGTAAGACTTTATTCTGATGGTCCTCTTTAGTCTGTCCATTAAACTTTGCCATTAAATTCCCAAAACACTTCATTAGCATATTAGTAGGCTATATGCTTCTTAATTATTTTCAATGTCTCCCAAGTACTTCAACTTATTCTGCTAACCCTAAACATTATACACAATTACTCCAATGATAGTTAGACCTTTTAGACCTGGTCTTAGCATTTCATTTATATTTCAGTGATCCAATAACAATTGGTAATCTGCGTTTTAACATTTTGGAGTGAATCGAGATCCTTCTTTATTATTTATTAAGTTTTTTTTAGATGTGGTTAGTTCAACGCACAAGGATTATCAAAAGAACAAACCCACATTATATGACTTAAAGAGACAGTTTACCCCATTTTGTCATCATTTACTCTCCACTAGTTCAAAACCTATTAGACTTTCTTTTTTCTGCTTACTACAAAAAGTGGTGATTTGAAGAATGTTATAAACCAGACTCTCTTTAAGAGTGAGAAAGCAGGTAATTCAAAAGAATGTGGATGACAAGAATGCTTTTGGTGTAATGGAGCAAAGTATTAATAATCAGTTTTAGTATCCTTTCTCCTAAAACATCCCATAATAATCAAATGTTGGCACAAAAAGAGGATGTGGTCTTTTGTGTCGGTCTGAATGCATTCAACCACATTAGTGTTTATTATATTAATTCAATTTAATGTGTTTTCATCTGTACGTTTTGCCTGGAGAGTGCGATGAGATTTATAAAAAAAATATATCTTTATCCATTTTGAGGGTATCTTTGAGCAACTTCCATATTGAGGCTGGAGTGAGATTCTAATGTTTGACCTTCTCACTCTTCTTTCCATGTCTAGTCATTTCTCTTGTAGGCTCTCCACATTTTTCTCCAGTTTGTGCACAGAGTTTTGTAGTTCCATAACATCATCCGAGCAGTTAGATAACCCTTGGTCTTTGTCTGACATTGTTGTTTTAATTGCCTCAAAATTTGAGCGAAGAGCCGAAGTGTTGCTTGCAATCTTGATTTTAACAGCTTGTAATTTTGCTTTGACCCTGTCAAATTTGTGTGCCAATACATTTTACAGTTCTGCTTGAAAGAGCGCAGTTATTTTTGGCTTTGATAGATGATTTTAGCTCAGATTTAATACCAATAATGTCAGTGTGTTTGGGTAGGAGTATTAGCATGCACTTGGCTAGCAGCAGTTTTCCCAGTGTACTTCTATTCATATATATATATATATATATATATATATATATATATATATATATATATAAAGAAATATAGCCATCTTTCATAGTGTATTTAAGTTTTAGATAGGTGTTTCATTTTATATTTTGACTAAGGTGCCTTCATTTAACTAATTGTACAAAGTATTGTACACAATCCACAAGGGCTGTGTGATTTGGGGAAAATATCTAATTGTGATTTTGTTTTTTTGTTTTTGACAGATATTGCAATTTTGATTTGATTTGCGATGTAATTTTGCAGTCTAGTCAATAATTTAATAATCTGTATTTAGCTTCTTACTGCTAAAATGCAGTGAGTTAGTTTAAAAAAGAAACCTTAAAGATATTAACTTTTATTAGCAAACAACTCTGAAGTTGTACTTTGCTGTTGCTTACTAATAGATTGAATGTCACTGACAGTACTTTTAGTTGACATTTTAGCAAGGGCGTAGGTTTGCACTTGACTTGTGGGAATGGGTGAATCAAACAACCCCCACCCCAAGAATGAATAGTGTGTGTGTGCGTGTATGTGTGCGTGTGTGTGTGCGTGTGTGTGTGCGTGTGTGTGTGCGTGTGTGTGTGTGTGTGTGTGTGTTTGTGTGTGTGTGTGTGTGTGTGTGTGTGTGTGTGTGTGTGTAAAAAAGTATATTTTAATATTTGTTTAATTTAAATTTTCATTTATTTTATAGAACTGTAATATAAAGCTTACAGTTTAAATGCACATTTGTAAATAAACGCTTAAAATAGTAAAATAGTATGATATGCAATTTAACAGATTGGTTTAAAATATATTTTGGTACATCAAAAAGTGTGGTTATGATAACCATCCGACAACCTAATCCAGTAAAAATGTGTTCTTCAAATGTCAATAAAATATGTAGTATTAAATAGAACATCAGGCAAATAACTGCAAAAATAACCCATTCAGAAAGCCGGCTACAGGCCTGATCATGCAAAAAGAATGTTTATTAACTGATTTATTAACTGTTCCTGTCTCATATATGAGTGTTAATAAAACATGGAGATGCTTTCCTGTTTGTTATTGTGGTTGTTCCGCATAGTTCGGTTGCGCAATTCTGATTGGGCAGAACGAAAGTGTGCTCACTCAATTGGCTAGTAAGTCTGTCACACACAGACTGTCACACAAAGACGGCAGTCATGCATTTGCTCTGAGCGGGGAAGTTAAATAATATATATGTCATATCGCAGCCTCCTCCAATTAGCTAATTGCAACATTTTAAATTGCGATTACAATTAATCACACAGCCCTACAACTCACCCAACTTGCACCCTACTCCATAGCTTGCTCATAAGCGCCCCAATTAAATGTGTTTTCAACTATACCTGGAAGTGATCTAAAGTGGCCAGCTCAAAATGGTAAAACCTGTGCTTGGCAGCATCCACGTGTGATCTTCATACCACATGTAAATTGTACTATTTGGCATGTTTGAAAACAAAGAGTGGGCACAATGTCTAAAGGAGAACATCAAAATTAAGAGTAACCTCCAAATATGTTAATATTGTTCACAGGTGAAGTCAGTGAAGAAGAATGGCAAAGGCCTCTCTATAACACTGGTTACAAAAGACCCTGATGACAAGGATTCACAGGAGAAGTTTGACACTATTAATGATGTAGACTGTCTGCTGTGGGCCATTGGCAGAGAACCCAACACCGCCGGCCTCAACCTCAGTCAAATAGTAGGTTTTAATTTACATTTATTTAATGCTATTTTTATTTCTATTAGTAGTTTAAGTTTATTAGCAACTTAGTGGCTAGCACTGCTTTTGGCCTCTCAAGATGTAATTTTGCATTCAATGCTTGACCGAGTGCCTCAAAATTATGAAAGAATTAGGCTTTTTTAAGCTATAAAATATATCTTTAAAATGGTTGTGGATGTAACTTTTACTCCTGAATATTATGCAAGCCTAATCACCAGGGCTTGACATTGACTTTTGATCACCAGCCATTGTGGCTAGTAGATTTCAGACATTACTAGCCCCTCGCCATTTTCAATAGCCACAATTATGTTGTTGAGAAAATATATTTCATATGCATCAATTTTGACATGCTAAAATGACTTGATTTAGATTTTGTGTTATGTCCACATGCCTCTCATTTATTTAACTTTTTGGTGTGTTGTGTATGAGCAAATGAGCCATGGTGTCATAGGGTTGTATTACAACTAGTTTTTATTTCACATCACTTTTCAGAGCTCAAATACAGGATTTATCAAATTAATCTCTGACCACACCAAACATAAATAAATAATTATTTTTTTGATACACAATTTTAAAATGTGTCAAAACAAGCAAGATATAGCTGTATACTATTTATTTAACAAAACTTTTCTTTAAAAAAAAAACAATTGACATTTAAAAAATAAGTGCTGTAGTGCATCTAAAACTATGCACAGTAATCTATCATGACAAAAGGTCCCATACCACCTGTTAACTACTCATTATTGGGGAGTTAATCTCATATTAAAGCAATGTTATTGTAAAAACTGATAAACCAAATTACCAACAATACCGGTAAGCAAAAGAAAGCAGGTGAAAAACATTCCATGTGTGATAATAAAAGGATGATCACACACAAGGTTAATGCTAGGCCTGTTCAAAGAATGGTTAAAGCAAGATATTCAGTGCTGCTCACTAAAAGACAAATCTGGAGCTCTTAAAAGCAGCAAAACTATTAGTGCAAGAGCATCACTTTTTGTCTAGTTTATTTGAAAGAGAACAGATCACACCAATTGCGTTTCTAGGCACAGTTGTTTCACGCAAGGAAACTGGAGCGTGCATGCGTATTAAACATCACAACGTCGTGCGCATCACATCACCTGAGGGTGCGAGTGATCATCCTCTCAATCGCTATTCAGCTGCTTTCTTTTGCTCCCGCAAACATAATAGGTTTTGTCAGTCTTGCTGGTTATAGATTCTAAGATCACATTTGCCTGCATATTGGGCCAACTTTATCGCAAACATTGCTTTTAAGAAAACTACAATTTTAAAAATTATTTTTAACCAGCCAAAGAGGCTAGTGGCGGTGGCTGTCTAACCCACCACAGGGGAAATCTACCCCCACATTTGGCAGGTTGGCGGGTGTCAATGTTAAGACCTAATCTAATCACAGATGAGAAGTTAATATTGATTGAGTTACATTTTGCATAGTGTTATCCATTTTTCTGTATCAAAAAACTTTCCCATCAATGCCAAAGCAGCATATTTATATATCCAAGTGCAACTCTCTCTGTTTTTATAATGCTGGGTTGGGTATATGCTTGTATCAAGCTTTACATTTCTGCTTTTAATCTCTCTGTAATGCATTGTCATTGTGTACACAGCGTTTCTGCTGAAACACGCAAGAGATTGTGTTCATAAGTGAACCTAGAGCATTCCTTTAAACTGCAAGTTTATCTTTGCACTGTTATCACTTGGTGACAGAGTATGAATAATCGAGCGTGTATTGTTATTCAGGGTGTGAAACTTGATGAACGGGGTCATATCGTGGTGGATGAGTTCCAGAACACCTCTCGTCCAGGCGTCTATGCAGTCGGGGATGTTTGCGGACGAGCCCTTCTGACACCTGGTACGGCTTCAGGTTCACATCTATTCAAATCTTCCTGATGCTCTGTTTGAACTCATTAACACAGCTCGATCTTAGACACTTTCTCTGTTTCAGCATAGTATAGAAATTAATTAAAGGGATAGATCACCCAAAAATGCACATTACCTCATCATTTAATCTCCCTTGTGTGAATTTTACACCCTTATCAGTTTTCTGTAAAACACAAATGAAGATACTTTAATGAAAGGCATCCATCGATTTCTGTAGATAAAACAAAAACATGCCAGCGTTTTCAATACCGTCTTTTGTGTTCAATGGAAGAAAGAAACTCAAATAGGTTTGGAACAAGTGAAGGGTCAGTGAAGACACGTGTAATTTTAGGGTGAACTACCCCTTTACGTTTGAGATTTTCATTGAGCTTAAAAGATCATGATGCGTGATGTTTGATTCCTTCTTCCTGTTATTCTGCTGGTTTATGTAAATAAAACCATTCACATTTAGAACAAACAACAGTCACTGCCAATGAGGAAGTTGTGCATTGTTTGAGTTTTACACTTTTGGTGTACTCTAGCGACCTCTGCTGGTCAGAGTAAGGGATACGTAAAGGGATAATCCACCCATTTACTCGGCCTTCACTTGTTTCAAACCTTTTTTTCTTCTTCACAGAAGACTTTATTTTGTAAATGTTAAAAACCTGTAACGAATCAAGATCCGCCAACCTACTTAGACAGAATGGACACAGAGATTGAAACAGATAAATATTTGAGAAAATGACTGCAGATTTGCAGTTGAAATCAGACTTTTTCCAACAAATCTAGTCATTAATTGAAACATACTTACTTGATCTTTAAAAGGCTGTCAGGGGCTTTGTCTTTGTTGTAGTTATTGTCTTTGTATTGGAGTTTGTTCGTTTATTTATTTACCCCCCCCCCCCTTTTTTTTTTTTTTTTTAATTATTTAATTTATTTTTAAAGCTGTCACTCTTATTTATCTATTAAAATTTCTATAAATAATTATTTTCTATCTATTTGTTTCCTTTTTGTGATTGTAAACATAAGTAAATGTTGTTTGTGCATTATGTTTAAAAAAAAACAATAATAAAAACACAGTAAAAAAAACTGTAACTATAGAGTGGAGGAACTATGACATCAATTTGTATGCAAAAACCCGGAAGCGAGTTTTTAGCACTTCCAGTTCCCTCATCCCAAAGTCAATATGTTTTTTGAATGGGATTTTGGTTAAATCGCTTAAATAAGGTTTGTGGCTAACACAAACTCAAGATACTTTCACGTTTTATTCTACAAAATAAAACACATCAGTTATATCTCACTCTAGATTTTTTTATTCGGTTATGCTTCTTTAAAAAGACGTTTGCTATCATGTTGGTAAATGGGACTACTGGCGGTGTCTGAGACATTATACATCATCGAGCTGATCTGGTCTGGAATGCAGCTCGGGTAAAGTCTAGATGGCATATGCAGTTGGCCGGAGGTTTGATATGCACATAAATATAGCAGCATTTTTATGACACTGTATAACAATAATTCATATTTTTACAGTACTGTGACAGTTGAGTTTGGGGTTGGGGTGGGAGTAGGCGGTTAAAAAAATAACAATTTATTTGGTAATTTAATAGATAACATAAATAATGCGTGTTACAACTGCTGTTTTTACATTACTGTGACAGTTGGGTTTAGGGTTGAGATCGGGTTAGACGTAATAAAATACAATAAATGGTAAATTTAATAAATAATAGAAATAATTAATTATTAACTTTGCCCTTGGCTTGTTAACTTCCGGCCGCAACCGTATCCGATCTAGCAACATCCCGCAGCTCGCTTGGGTTGGGCATTTGAACTTGTCTTTTATTTAAATATTTTCATAAATAGTATTTTTCTAATTGGGAGTTAATATTGTGTGTAGATAATGCCTTCACTTGTAGAGACCATCAAGACAGATACATTTGTTGATCATTTGTTTTAATTAAACAACATAGTCTCTGGCGACACAGTGGAGCAGTAGGTCGTGCTGTCGCCTCACAGCAAGAAGGTCGCTGGGTCACTGGTTCGAGCCTTGGCTCAGTTGCCCTTTCTGTGTGGAGTTTGCATGTTCTCCCTGCATTTGCGTGGGTTTCCTCCGGGTGCTCTGGTTTCCCCCACAGTCCAAAGACATGCGGTACAGGTGAATTGGGTAGGCTAAATTGTTCGTAGTGTATGAGTGTGTGTGTGGATGTTTCCCAGAATTGGGTTGCGGCTGGAAGGGCATCTGCTGCATAAAAATGTGCTGTATAAGTTGGCATTCCGCTGTGGCGACCCCGGGTTAATAAAGGGACTAAGCCGACAAGAAAATGAATGAATGAATAAACATAGTCTATTTCCTGCTTTTAGTAATGCAAATGTGTGAATAAATGTGAAAAAATACATACATATTAACTATTTAATATTGTCATTGTTATTTTAACGTGATCAATTGATTTTTCATTGGGTTTTTTTCTTCATCTGAACATATTTAACTCATAACTGCAATATGTAGTCCTCCTTAATATTAATAGCATATGTGACGGTATATGGGCTGCTTTTCGCTGTACTTTGTGACAAAATAAAAAGAATATTGAATGTTCTGTGTCCATGATGGAACTTGCAGACATATATGAACGAGAGCGATACACTTATTTAAATATGTCCTATGAAAATACTGTAGGCACATTTATACATAGACTTTTAACACTATTATAAAAACTGTAAAACAAAACAAAAATGTATTTCCCACGCAAAAAAAAAAAACTACCCAAAAGGCACATAGGTCTATACAGGTGTATTTTTGCGTATTTATTTGTTTATAATACACTCAAACATTTTTTTTAATTACTTGTTCAAACTACTTTTTAAAATAAGCTGAAACAACATAATTTTTGAGATTTCATTGGGACAACTTTAATTTTTTATGTTCAATCCACATAAATTTTGTCATGGACCATATTTCTAAAAATAAGCTTGAAAAGTTGTCTGTAGCTGGATGGTGCCGACGTCCGTGGCGAGGCCGATGGCACTGTAGTCTGTTTATTGCCTAATGTTAGCTTTTCAATTCTTGCATTTGCATTTAAGATCCTAAAGTGAAAAAAGTTAGATTTCTGTGTGAGGATTATTTTGTTGGACAAAACGTGTAAGTATAATGAATTGTGTTTGAACACAGAGCTTATTATTTGCAATCTTCGAAAAGCCTGTGGGAAAATCCTATAGGGATTTTATTGAGGGAACTGGTTTTATGCTAGCAGCCGATTGGCCTACAAGGTGACGTCATAGTTCCTCCACTCAATGGACTTCCATAGTAGGAAAAATATGGATGTCAATAGTGACAGGTTTCTGCCATTTTCAGAGTAAAGTCTTTTGTGTTCATCAGAAAAAATAAACTCATAGAGGTTTGAATCCACCAGTGTAAATGAGTGAGTCAATAGTGTGTGCATTTTTATTTTTGGTTGAACTATCCCTTTCATTTTTCAGCATTTGTTTATTGTGTATGTGTATTTAGTTTATGATGAGCTGTTGTTGTGTCCTGTTTTTGTTTGTGTGTACAGTTGCTATTGCTGCTGGCAGAAAGCTTGCTCACCGACTGTTTGAGGGCAAAGCAGACTCCAAAGTCGATTATAATAACATCCCTACAGTAGTGTTCAGCCACCCGCCTATTGGCACCGTGGGACTAACTGAAGGTGAGCTCATGCTTGCTTCAAGTTTTCATCACACTCGGTATGCAGCTTTATCTATCTGTCTATTCATCCAACTGTAGTTTCTTCTTTTTTTATATTTGTCAATCACTCCATCTATTTGTCTGTCATCTACTCATCCATTCATCTATCTGTCTATTCTTTGTCTGTCTTACCATTGGACCATCCATCTGTCATTTTATCTGCCTATCAGTCTATCTATCTATCTATCTATCTGTCTGTCTGTCTGTCTGTCTGTCTGTCTGTCTGTCCGTCCGTCCGTCCGTCCGTCCGTCCGTCCGTCCGTCCGTCCATCCATCCATCTATCTTTCCTATCTTCCTATCTATCTGTCTGTATGTCTGTCCATCCGTCTATCTTATCCATCCATCCATCCATCCATCCTCATTTATGCATCCCTTCAACTGTACTTTCATCTGTTTGTCTCTTTCATATGTGTTTGTCCATCTATTTATTTTTTTCTGGCAGTCATCCATCTGTCTGTTTTTTCCATCCATCATATCTATATATCCATTTATCCATCCATACATCCATCCAACTGTACTTCAATCTCTTTCTTGATTTTTGTCCATCACTCCATCTATTTGCCTGTCGTCTTCCTATCCATTGATCTATCTGTCTATTCTTCTCTGTCTGTCTTACCATTGGACCATCCATCGGTTTATCTGTCAATCCATCTATCAATCTACCTATTTCTACTGGCAGTCATCCATCCGTCTGTTTTTCATCAATCTATTCTCCTATGTGTCCATTTAATCATCCATCCAACTGTACCTAAATTCCTTTCTTGATATTTGTCCATTACTCCATCTGTTTGCCTGTCGTCTACCTATCCATTCATCTATCTGTCTATTCTCTCGTTCCTTCCAATGGATCATCCATCTGTCAGTTTATGTGTCTATCCTTCTGTCAGTCCATCTATTTATTTCTTCTGGTAGTCATCCATCCATGTCTGCTATCTATTCATCTCTTTGTTATTCATTTATATATCTCTCTTCTTTGTATCCATTTTTCTATGTGTGTACTGGCACATGGAGTTGCAGACAGTAAATTCTACACAGAAATATCTTGACATGATTTTGATTATAAATCGATCATTAATTTGTTGTTGTCTTGTTTAAGTGTTGAATATTTTCTTTAGTAGACTATTAAGTTGCTAATCTAACATTCCCAGCCCCCCACACATACATCAGACAGTAATATTAATTGTTCATCAAACTGAAGTCTACTCCTGTTTGTTACTGAGTTTAAATGTTTGGAGTAGTGATGCTAAATAAAACAACCCGTCGATCTCCATTCAGGCCTCATTTACACTAATTCGTTTTAGTTTTAAAATGGTGTTTTAGAATGAAAATGATCTGCGTACACAGTGGCATTTCACCTGGTATTTCTGGAAAGATCTCTGTCCACACTACACCACTGAAAGCACACATCACGTGACCACACACACTTTGCCATGCACTGCAGCATATGCGCTCGTCTGAGCTCCAGGCAGTCAGCGGGTGCTTTGAGCACAGCCACCCGGGTGAGAGCATCAAGTATCTTTCACTGATTTTCATCTCACTATAGTTGTCAAACGTGATATTTAGTTCATCTTGTCTCTATTTAATGTTCTTTTGAATCTGTTACTTGTTCTCAGGTAACACGTTTTGGCTGAGCGCAAAGATAAGTTAATATATTAATATATGGAACCACGTACACTGATTCTGCATATTGACTGATTGCTTGCCTTTATTTCTTATATTGTTTAAACTTATTGTACGTTACTTTTACAATGGCCATTAGGGTTGGGCCAATAGACGATGCCGTCGTCCATCGCCGATGGCCAATAGACAACACGATGCTGAGCCGGCATCGCCGATCCTCCGCCCCGCCCGTCGCAAACCGCCTCGCGAAAAATACACACCTAACAGGCCCTCTTTACACTAATACGTCTTAGTGTTACAATGGCATTTAAGAACGAACATGATCCACATCCACAACATGTTTTACCGAGCATTTCTGAACAGCTCTGAAAACGCACATCAAGTGACCACACACACAGACACTGCCACAGCCAAACACACTGTCATGCGCTCCTCTGAGCTTCAGAGAGCAGTGCACGTCAGACAGTTTATCAAGAAGGTACCACTGGATCGCGTCTCACTATAGTTGTTAAACGTGATATTAATTAATCTTGTCTCTATCTAACAACTCTTCTGTCTTTTGAATCTGTCAGGTAACGTGTCACAGCATCGGTACACTGCTTCAGTCTTTCACTTTCACACTTGTACTTAGTAATTTTTGTGTAAACAGTAATTGACAGGTGGTGATTTGTGTGCAACTTATCTTTATTTATGATTAGTTTATGAGTAAAACAAAGACCATGCGGGTCAGGTAGTTGAAACAGTAGGCTACAAAGAATTAATTCACCTCCACCTATGACGACGATGTCATCGTCCCTCACGATGTTTCACATTAGACATCGTATGATGCCAAATTGGTCGGCATCTCCGAACCCTAATCGTCATTATTGATTATTAAATCTGATATTCAGCAAAGAGAAAGGGTGTGTTTATTATTTTTCACACATTTTTACCACACATGTGTCTAGTATAGAAAACTGTATCGAATATCAATATTTAAAGTAGATCAAAGTTAGAAATCCCAATATGATGACAACTCTACATGCCTCCATTAATTATTGTTTATTTTCAGGGTTCTGGAATATTACAGAATTTCTAAAGGTCTATTTCAGACACTGAAAGACAGAGAATTTTATTTTATTGTTTATTTTGTCCAAGTAATGGAATACCAGGAGTTTTGTGTAATTTAAAATTTAACTTTCCATTTTTGAAGAGATGAATTTTCACATTTTTCAGTGCTCAATACAACAACTGTCAGTTTTTCTGTTCATTATAGGTCATGGAAAGCTTTTCAGTCAGTGACGTTTGTTTTCGATTGGGAACCCAGTGTTTAATTTCAGATTAATTTAACACTAAAAACTACTGTAATAGATTTAGTTCCAGCAATAGCAACTCTTAATGTGAGTGGTACTTGATATACTAACATCCTGAATGTATTTTTATTTTAAATTACTTTTTGTAGATGAAGCAGTTAAGACGTATGGAAAAGACAAGGTGAAGGTTTACACCACTTCTTTCACCCCCATGTATTACGCCATTACCACTCGAAAGAGTCAGTGCATCATGAAGTTGGTGTGCGCTGGTGAAAATGAAAAGGTGAGAGCATAATCTGATCATAAAAGAGCCTCAAAACTGAGAACATCTATATTTGGTTGTATTCATTGTTAGTCAAACCCCGTCTGGGCCTCTTTTCTTCTATTAGGTGGTCGGTCTCCACATGCAGGGTTTTGGCTGTGATGAGATGCTTCAGGGTTTTGCCGTAGCCGTTAACATGGGGGCGACTAAAGCAGACTTTGACAGAACCATTGCCATCCACCCAACGTCCTCAGAGGAGCTAGTAACACTGCGCTAATCAGTGCCTTTTCATTACATCTCCACTGCAATCCAAAGAGTGTAAATGTAAACAAATGTAATTCCCTGGACTATTGTTCCATCTACAGAACTAACAGTGTAACACCACAAGCATATGTTTGATATTGGTTGTGTAGAAGTTGCACACAGTACAACCATTTATCAGGCTGCGTCTCTTGTACAGTACCTCAGATTTTTCACAGGTATTATTGTCTGCTTGGAACGGAGTCAGGTAAAGGCTTGATTATGTTATAGGGTAAAATTAAATCTGTTTAAAGTCAAACACTGTTGCTTTTCTCTTATATTTCCAGAATATTATATTCAGAGTTGATTTCAATAGTAGCGGGTAGTGAGCAGAGCTTAATATGTGTAACAAATTGTGAATCAGAATACATTTATTAAATAGATTTGTGTCTCTGTGTGGTTAATGGATCATTTCTTGATTTATGTATTGGCGAGGTCAAAATGCTTTTAATAACTGTCAATTTTCAGAAAAACTTACATTCACTTATATTTCAGTTTTCTAAAGCTTTGCTTTATTATGATGAAGTACATTTACAATTTCCATTATATGATAACAAATTTAGAGTAATATTTATTCAAGGGTTAGTTCACATGAAGTTTCTTTCTTCTGTTGAACACAAATAAAGATATACTAAAGAATGTTGGGGGAAAAAGGCCATTGACTTCCATAGTATTTTAGTCTTGCTTTCTGGATGTCAATGGCTGCCTTATCTTGTTTTGTGTTCAGCAGAAGTAGGAAATGCTTCAAAGATTACAACTACTTGAGTAAATGAGGACAATTTTAGGTTAATTGTCCTTTTTAATTGACATTTTCTCAGCAGTCAGCCAACCTTTAATGTAGGATGATGGGTACTCCAATGTTTAATGTAGTTGGTAATATAAGAGTTTAAAAATGTAAATGTCATAATCAAAATCTATGAATTACACGACATTTGTTCACCTGAAATAATGTGCATTTAAATGTCTATTAATCTGGCTACAGCATTTGTGTTATTCTCTGGTAAGTCTTGTTTTGTTGGTGTAAAGGTTGGGGCCTGGTATCAATTTAATAAGGTGTTCAATAGTTAAAAATGTTGAAAACGGTTTAACAGAAGGCATTCATGTAGACTAATGCATGTTGTGGTGTTTGATTTAACAAAGAGTGTTGCAAGTTTGCGGTCATTGAAATCGACTTAACACTTGCATTCTACAAATATAAGGAAGCATGTGAGATATAAAAAGAGGTTTGAGTAACTCCAAGAAAAATATTGGTATAGACTCATGAATTCAAGATTGCTCTTTGAAAGCAATATAGCTCAAGTTGTTCACAATACAATTGATTTAAGTTTAATTTTTGGTGCTCTTTTCTGGATTTCAATGGCTGCTATATCTTGTTCAGCGGAAGAAATGCGTAAAAGATGAGAATTACTAAAGTTATTGAGGAGATTTTTAGATTTATTGTGCTTTTAATTGACCTTTTCTCAGCAGTCAACCAACCTTTTATATAAGATGATGGGTACTCAAATACTTAAAAATATACTAATGTAGTTACTAATGTAGTTTATATTATATAATTACGCTAGTTTGGATTTGTAATTTTTAGATGAAAGCAATCATGGTGTGAAATAGGTTTTGTCTTGCTGTGGGCATTGTGTGTCAAAACATTCATTTACCCTAAATATGATACATTCAGATGTTAATGTTAATCTGGCTCCAGCATTTATATTATTCTCAGATTAATCTTTTTGTGCAGGGTTTCTGCAGGTTTCATCAAGTCAAACTTAAGACTTTATAAGACCATTCAAATGAAATTTTAGACTTAGACTTGGATAAACACTGATCATTTATAATAGCCCGATTTGCTACAGAAAAGGTCATTCTTAAAGACAAACTTTGTCTAAACAAGTACACTCTAGTTGTATGCATTTTTTCCCAACATATTTATGACAAGTTTAATTTAGTACAGTAAAGTAAATTTATTGTGAAGACAATTACATTAAAAACATATTTGTTGACTTTTGGTCCAAATTGCAGAAGTACAATTTCTAGTCAACCTAGTGTGTTTGTTATAAAACCTTAAGTTTTATGCCTATTTATAAACATTATGTCTGCTGTACATGTTTAGTACTTTCCCTGATTTTATTAAGTTGGGAGTGTTGGTGATAGGATGGATGTTAGCCAGATTGGGTAGCTCTACTTGGAGTGAAACACCTGTTAAGTATTAAAACCTACAATTTTATTTGTGAATTTAAGAATTTAGGACCTAAAAAGACACCCGGTTATTTAAAATTTGGGGTCTGGTATCAATTTAATAAGGCGTTTAATAGTTTACAATGTTGAAAACAGCTCAACTCAAAAACCATTCAAATGCATGTTATGGTGTTTTAACAAGGCATGTTGCAAGTTTATAGCCATTAAAATACTCAACACCTTTATTTGTATTAGATATAAGCAATAAAATAGATTTAGGTTTAATTTAAAAAAGGCAAGAAAAGCTCTTCCAGTGGAACAAAAACAGAGGAATCAAACAGGCTTTATGAAAAAGATTGGTTTTTAATGGTCAAAAGGCGTATGGCAACTTTCAGATCAAATGAAAAACTTTAAAACAGTTGTACAATAGGAACGGTGTGACAGCATTAAAACAAAAATTATATTACACTCAAAAAACAAAGAATATTAGGAGGTCACGATGAAAACGAGCTGCTTAAATTTCATTATTACCCCTGAGTTTCGTCTCCAAACAATGGACAGGCAATAAACCTAGAAACAGATCACACAAAAGCCTACACTGGTGTTTTACAGGCTTGACTTGGGTAACACATGACCACCTAAAACCGAAACAAAGAAAAGAAACGCAACGCGTGTCTGCTGGTACTGGTAATGGCACAGAACGATGCTCTTATTTAAACCAATACCGAATATTTTGAAAGTCCAGAGTCCAAATAGTTTGCTTAAAAAAATAAAAGTAAAAACGCAGCTTAGAGTCACATTAGTGCTTCTAATAGCCTCCATATCCTCCTCTTCCGTAGCCGCCACTACCGCCGCCTCCTCCCCCACGTGGGTACGGCCCACTGCTCTGCCTACCGGAAGAATAATTCCCGTAGCCCGTTTTCATAGCGCCGTAGCCCGAAGCCTGCTGTCCATAACCCTCGCCGAAATCACTGTAGCCATTCCCGTTGCCGTATCCACCGCCCATCTGGTCACTATAACCGCCTCCGTAGCCGTTTTGACTGTCGTAGCCGGAATTGTTGCCGAAGCCGTTGTTCTGGTAGCCGTAGTCGTTATAGTAACCCCCTCTTCCGCCGCCACCAAAGCCGCTTCCCCGGCCCATTCCTCGGCCTCCTCTGCCGCCGCGACCGCCACCGGTGGACTGCATCTCCTGCTTAGTGAGCGCTTTCTTCACCTCCACCTTGTGTCCGCAGATGGAGTGGAACTTCATCACGACGGCTTTGTCGGCAGAATCGTTGTCGTCGAAGTAAACAAAGCCGAAGCCTCGCTTCTTCCCGGTGTCTTTGTCGGTTATGACCTGCGCCTTCTCGATGGGCCCAAACTGTGAGAAATAATCTTGAAGGTGTTCGTCCTCGATGTCGTCTTTCAGTCCACCAACGAATATTTTCTTGACCTTAGCGAGCATCTCCGGTTTACCGGCGTCTTCCCGGGCCACCGCTCGCTTCAGATCCACGTTGTTGCCGTCTACGATATGAGGCCTAGCAGACATGGCGGCGTCCGCTTCCTCGGTGCTCGAGTATGTTACAAAGCCGAAGCACCTGGAGCGCTGTAGCGGCTGGTTCATCACCACCACGCAGTCGGTTAGCTGTCCATATTGCTCGAAATGTGCCCGCAAGCCTTCATCGGTTGTTTGGACGTTCAAGCCGCCGACGAAGAGTTTACAGAGTTGGTTAGTCATTTTCTCACAATGGACGTACTGGTGGATCACGCTCGACGGAAGAAAGAAAGCAACGCGTTTAAAAGAGGCACGAGGCGTTTCCTTTTGTGTGCGTCAGCGATTACGTCAACGAATCTGATTGGCTAAAAAGGCAAATCGATACCGTCATAATAATTAACATATTGCACTGTGGGATGGATCTAAAATGGAGGGCTTTTTCGGCTTTACTACCCAAATGGTTCAGCGTTACACCTTTACTGTTGTAAATGAAAGTTTCAGTTTATCTATAATGAATTCAGGATTCGAATGAACATAGACCAATAATAAAGGTTGAGGTTTTTTTTTAAATACGTTTAATTTACAGGACATTTCTATCGTTAAATAGTATATTTCCCCTCAGTCTGCAGTACCTCTGTAAGTGTAGATTCTGCTTCGATAAAACAAAGTCCTAACCAATAATTAAGTTTTATATAAACGTGAAGCACATTAAATTCAAGTAACGTTACTGTCTTATAAAAAATACTAAAAGGTTACTATTTGGATGTTCTATTTTCACGGTGTGTAATGAATGTTTATACAAAAATGAGACAACATACCTGGTGTGCTTAAAAGAAATTGTTCATATTAAAGTTTATTTTTAATTAGTAAAATATTTTTGCTGACAAATATCACCTCCAACATAAAACATTGTTTAGCTCATTTTTAGGAACAGCCGACAACAGTGTACGAGACAAAATTACTGATTTTACATAAATCCTGCAAATAGTCACCCATTAAAATATTTAGTAAATTCTCAATCGGAAATATGTCAAAACCTATTTCTGATTAGTAAAATAAGCATCGCCAAGAGTTAGACTACTTCAAAGACAATTTTCTGTGTTTATTTAATCATTTTATAGGAGGTAGATAAATTAGACTATTGTCTCCTGCAACACTATTGTGGTGCAAATGCATGGTTATCAGTGTGCGTTTCAGTAAATATTTAGCATAGTAAAAGTATAAATGATGAGAAACTCAGTTTGTATGTTGATTTTGATTAAATCATATATAAAGTGTGGAGATCAGCCACCAATTTTTATTATTGCTTACAATTTAAAAAGGTTGGATTTTCAGAAACTTTATAAGTAATGTTTAAAGATGCCTTTTGCAGTCCACATCTTCTGATCTTGTTTGTATTAGTAGCAATGCACAAATACTCAATACTTGTATTGCTTTATTTAACTTTAAGAGCTGTTTGCATATTTCATACAACCCAGATTTAAATTAGAGATGCTTCAAATGATCCTATTGGACCTCATCCCCGAACAAACACAAATCCATCCATTAATCCTCAATCTCCTACAAACCTACATAATCTCCACAGATTTACTCACAGGGGAAAGTCATTCCAGTACATATCAAAATACACCACACATGATTTTATAAACCTTTTTTATTAAAAACACATTTTTAGTAAAAATATACACATTTTCACAGAAAACAGTTTATTTCTGCTTCATCAGTCTATTGTGGATCATGTAGAAAACTCCATGGCCACAGTTGATGTGGGCATAGTCCTGCATTCAAGGTCACCTGGGGGAAAAGACATGAAGAAAAGAAACATGTTAGTCATGCAAGATAAACACAAGGATTTAATATCAAGTTAAGAAAAAAATCCTTTAAGTCAAGATCCTAATAAGCCGCGGTGTTACACAAACCCAAATTCCATCGCACCAGTTCATGTCCACTTGACTTATAGATGGTGACTAATAATGATAATTAAAAAATATTTAGGAATAAATATAATAAAATGGTAATACTTGACCAACACGTAGTGAAGACAGGTTGATTACATACCTAGATCGCAGGATGATATCCTAATGAGATATTTCAGTCCTATCACAATCGAACCCAGGTACTGAACAGGTTCCCTGTACAAACAAACTGCTACAGCTATTTTGAAGTAGTGGAATAACTGAAAGAACACCTAAATATGGGAATCAAGAGTAAATATAAAAGCCATAAACACTAGAATAATAATTAGTATATCACTGAATGTGATGCAGACTTAATTTAATGTCATAATAATCATATGCATATGCTTTGACTATTAGAGGTGTAGTGGAAACCCATTAATTAAAGTCTATAGGATAATAAAAAGATAATTAAGCTGTGAAACTTTTATTTAAAAAGTAACATACAATTGCATATCAATGTTTAACAATACTGGATTGATCTGAAGACATAATATACAATACACAAGAGAATGTTGGAAGTATGATGCTTACACAACGTTGAACTGAACTCAGATGAGTGCGTTTCTCTTCTAGTTTACTAAATAAAACAAAAATCACGTAAGCCTAATCTATCCCCATCATGATAAACTAGTTAGGAAAAAAAATCTCGTGGTGGGTTTTACAAAGACGAACACAAACTCAAAACTGCATGCGTTAATCCCCCCCATGACACTGCTAGGCAACAGTTTATATAGAAAACAAGTCTATTGAGTATGCATTTAGACAACAAATCGCCAGTGTTGAACAAAATTTAAAAACGAATCGGCTGCGAACAAATCGTTTCTTTAAAAAGAAAGAAAGAAAAGCGGGGCCATCTTGCTGCATGCCCTAAAATTGGGAAATAAATGACATATAGAGATATATAGAATAATAATAATAATAATAGAACATGTCCTACAACTAAAGCTGGTCGAGCAAGTCAGGTTTCTGGGAAGAGATCTTCTTCCTACCTGTTAAGAATTGAGGTCTTTTAGGTATGCTTTCACAGTGTCCGCCATCTCTTGCATGGCCGGGTGAATGAGCCCAATGTGGAAACCGAGAGAACCTGGGGGAGGGGAGCAGCTGCAGAGTCTTTCCCAACCTGCTTTAGTAGCCTCCATAACCACCCCTGCCGTAACCAGGCCCACCGCCACCACCACGGGGGTAGGGGGCTCCGCTCCTGCCGCCGTATGTGTTTCCACCTTTCATGGGACCGTAGCCGGACGACTGCTGGCCGTATCCGCTGCCAAAGTCACTGTAACCGTTTCCACCGCCATAGCCCCCCATCTGCTCACCGTAGCCTCCTCCGTATCCACCTCCGTAACCGCCACCGTAGCCTCCACTTCCATAGCTACCGCCGTAGCCGCCATCGTTTCCGCCGTATCCTCCGCCATAGCCGCCCCCGTAGCCGCCGTAGCCTCCTCCTCTACCGCCGCCGAAGCCATTTTGATTGCGGCCCATGCCTCTTCCTCCGCCTCTCCCTCTGCCGCCGCGGGCTCCACCGGCAGCCTGGATCTCTTGTTTCGTGAGCGCTTTCTTCACCTCCACCTTGTGTCCGTTGATCATGTGGAACTTGAGCACGACGGCTTTGTCCGCAGAGTCGTTGTCTTCGAAGTGGACAAAGCCGAAACCACGCTTCTTGCCGGTGTCTTTGTCGGTGATGACTTCGGATTTCTCGATCATGCCGAACTGCGAGAAAAATTCGGTGAGGTCTTTTTCCTCGATGTCATCTTTTAAGCCACCGACGAATATTTTCTTGACTTTGGCGAGAGCTTCGGGCCTTCCGGCGTCTTCACGAGCCACGGCTCTCTTCACCTCCACGTTTTTACCGTCTACAACATGTGGCCTGGCGGCCATTGCTGCATCAGCCTCCTCCGAGGTGGAGTACGTAACGAAGCCGAAACAACGGGATCGTTGAAGCTGATCGTTCTGGACCACCACGCAGTCCGTCAGGTTCCCAAACTGCTCAAAATAAGAGCGGAGACCATCATTAGTCGTTTGGACGTTTAGACCGCCAACGAAGAGTTTGCACAGCTTCTCCATTTCAGACATTAGTTTGCCGTTAGTGACCGCCGTAAGACTCGACTGCTGCTAAGAAAGAGCCTTTTTTAAAATGACTGTCGTCATGACGCAATGTTCTCTCTCGCCGTAAGACACACCCCATTCACAGGAAAAAAGGCGGGATTTGAGGAATGGTGCTAAAATTCCACTGATAGAAATTTCTAGTTTACAAATGACTACACTAAAACAAGTCATGGATTGAAGTAAACATGACAATTTGACGTAGAAACACTGAAATAAAATATTTGCTTATGAAACATAATGCAATATTTACCGTGTATTTATTAAAATAATAATAGTGTTCCAAGTTCCAAGGCCATTTTCTAACACTTTTTATAAAAATGGTAAGCCGAATATACTAAATATAAATAATGTTCCAGCTTGTATAATTCCGGATGTATAATTATTTAAAAATACATAATGTTTAGTACATATTTAATTACAATAATACATGCAATGCAATTTGAAAAACTTGAAAATGAAATTTAGCTTGACCGTGTGTAGTTTATGTAGTCTGTAAGATTAATTAATTTATTTATTTGAGAAAATGCATGTCTTAAACACTATTTCTCTACAACTGCTTTTCTCTGTTCAACTGCAAACTCAACAGATCTATAGATCCACATTCAGAAACACTCTGAGATTGTGAAGTGAGGCAATAACTAATGAAATGCAATAGAGTCGTGACAGCAAATGTTTTCAGTTCATTGTGACTTATTAAACTAAGTTAATCATATACTAACCTAAATTACGAGTTTAGAAAGCTGTTTCAAGTCAGTTTAACATAAAATAAGTTCAATGGACTCAAGTTAAATTGATTCAGCTTAAAAATTTAAGGCCACCAGAATATTTTTTTTACAGTTTATTATTTGACATAAAATGCACAGGCCCACCCCGTAACCTGGTGAAAAGGGTGAAAACTTCCTTTTTTCTTAGGAAGTGGACCTTTTTGCAGTTATCTGCCTCATTTTCTATTTAAATATGAGATATAAAAACTGCATTTAAGTGATATTTTAAGCACTAATTTTAGCTAGATTAGCTTGCCGGATGGTCATCATAACCACGCTTTTTGATGTACCAAAAATACTTCCTAAAGATTTATAATAAGGAATAGTGAAATAATTTATATTTGTTACATCATATATCATTAGAAAAAAAATAAATATTTTAAAGTTTTACATTTTAAAAACTGTAGTTTATTTCATTTATTTGCTCAATTTGTCTATTCGAATAAAAAAATATATTAAAACATAATAATAATAATGCAGCGCCATGGTGGCGCAATGGGTAGTGCTGTCGCCTCACAGCAAGAAGGTCGCTGGATCGAGCCTCAGCTGGGCCAGTTGGCATTTCTGTGTGGAGTTTGCATCCTCTCCCCGTGTTGGCAAGGGTGAAATGCTGGATAAGTTTGCGGTTTATTCCACTGTGGCGACCTCATATTAATAAAGGGACCAAGCCGAAAAGAACATGAATGAATGAATAATATTTGATTTTTATTTGTCAATGATGCCTTTCTGGACACTTAATGTTCAACATTAACCACATCAACAACCTTACCAGAACAAATTAATAAAATAAAACAATGAATGTTGCCAAAAAATAAAAAATACAATAATTTTAAATGCATACAAGGGGTTGCAGATCCAAACAAAGTATAAAATAACATGATGAAAGATAGTGAAAAGAAAGCCTGCTTAAAAAGATGGGTCTTGAGATGAGATTTAAAGGTGTTTAGACTATTACTGCTCCTCTATAAAAAAAACATTTATCAATTGTTTAATTGATAATAACAGTAAAATGACATAATTTTATTTAGCCTACATGTATTTACATTGTTTACATTATCTCACTTTATATTCAGATTTGCACACTATTACGAATGCACACACAATATCAGTTCACTTTCTAGGTACCATATTGATAAAGATGTCTTCTTTCAGAAAGAGATGCATTGAGGGGACAGATGGGTGAGCTATCACTCAGCATGAGCAATAGGAACTGATGGTTGAGATCTGCATAACAGATGAGGTGTCTGGAGCCTGCACTTTACAGATATTTGATGACACGCAACGCTGATGGGTGAACATCAAGTCTTTGTGAGTGTGTTCTTACCTTTTAATATGCACGACACAACCGTTTTCGAAGTGTGAGGTGAAGTTTCAAGCTGGGCTGGTTTCATAATTTGACTTGATTGCAAAATCTTTATGTGACATGACTGTGTTTGACATTATATACATATTGACTGGTTTATTTTGGGTGACTTGCTCTATATGGATGTACTGAATGTTGAATCTTTTCATAAAAGTCACTGCTACAGTCTTTAAGTCAACATTGTTACCTCAAAGGTGTTAACTAAAAATTCAACTTTTGTATTTTTAGGTACTGATGTGTAACTATACTAATATGACCACACATACATGCAGAAATCTGCAGATTTTTGAGCATATCATTTAATATAGCCTATTTATTTTACCTTAGTAGGGCTGCACAATACATTGTTTCAGCATCGATATCGCTATGTGATCGTTTGCAAAAGTTATCTTGCAAGGATATATGCAATGTTGGGTCCAAATTATTACTGATGATTTTGTAAGTGTTTTTGAGGCCTGTGACTGTTATTAATGATTAATTTTACTGAATTGTTTATAAAATGAAGACTATGCCTTTATAAATCTTTATCTTACACCTATACTGTACCTTTGTGGCCCAAAATTGTACCCTAAAGCAGGGGTTCCCAAACTTTTCAGCTCGCGACCCCCAAAATAACAATGCCAGTGACTCGCGACCCCCAATATCCTCTGAGGCGGTTATAAATACAGAAACCTTGCATGCAATGGCGCACACACACCAATAAACCAAAGTCTATTCTTCATTTTATTATTTTTTTTAAATGTATGTCGGTGCTGTAAATGTGCCAGAAAGTTTAACCTGGTCTTATAAAATCAATCTGCTGCATCTGACGCTATTACTGAGTCTTTAATATAATGTAATTACCTGAGGGGTCGCAATCCAATAGAACTAGTAACTATAAGCTTATAAAGTTACTATTTACAGAAGTGTATATAGTAACTGTAAACGACAATTTTTATAATAGGTTATGGATTAAAATGTTAATTCTTATGGTTTAATAAAAATAAATAGATTTTTGGAAATCACCAGGCGACCCCCCCTTCATTGTCCCGCGACCCCTCAGGGGGTCCCGACCCCCACTTTGAGAACCACTGCCCTAAAGGACCAATTTGGGACTTTTAAAGGTACAATTATATATTTTGTTTCACTGTTTTACTGACAGTGTGTATTATTTTACATTTGATTTTTCAATTACTGTCTACCTGAATACATTTTGACTGTTTGAAAAACAACAAAATGATGTTTATTTAATTTGTGTCTTTTTCTTTTTTGAATTCATGCTTGTAGGTTGTAATTTATGCACTCTCCTACAGATTCATCCCAGTCAATATAAAATATAAATACTTTCCAAAAAGTTATTCAACTCATCTAGGGAAATCGTTTTGCTATATATATATATATATATATATATATATATATATATATATATATATATATATATATATATATATATATATATATATATATATATATATATCTATCTATCTATCTATCTATCTATCTATCTATCTATCTATCTATCTATATATATATATATATATATATATATATATAAAATATCTTCTGTCTTAGTGTATACATTTATTTTTTAAGAGACCCATGTAAGGCAAGCCTTTGTTTTAACCTTAAATAACTTGCACAATATTAATCCTTAAATACCTATTTTGCTCAATATTCACCTTTAATAACTCTCTTGCACAATATCATGCACAACATTGTTCAGTCTCATGTAAAAGTACTCTGTATAGCCTGTCTTGTGTATAGTTAAGTATCTTATGTTAATTATGCATGGGTTTTTGAAAAAAGCTCTTATGTCCAGTTGTCCAGCGAGACACAACATTTCGCTCTTCTGTATGTCCATACAATAAAGCCTAATTCAACTTTCTAGATTGTGATTGTTTTTTATGTTATTTTTTATTAGGTTAGGTTTTCAGTTCATAATCTGCACGATACTAGGCACACTTATTAACAATTCTGTGCAGACATAGAATAATAATAATTAAAATCAGCAAATTCTGTCTGACCCTGCTTATATAAATATGTACCATTTGAAACTCTGTAACATATTTTGTAAACCTTTTTTCTGAGAGTGAAGGTAGAAAGTTAAATTGTGCCTATATTGATACCAGAACTGGTGATGACTTTCTTGAGAAACTGACTTGAGCCACGGGTACAGTTTACACCTTTATCTAATGCTTAAACACTTATTTTACCATTCACATCTATATTGAGTAATCCACTTAATTGTGATCGAGTCATCTGATGATAAAACCAGGTGCAAAAAGGGCCATCTCAGTTTAATTTAAAACCCAAAGCCTGAAACTGTTGACGGCCTCTACAGGAACTTCCTGAATGTATATTGATACCTCACACTCCCTAAAGTCAGTCTGCTAATTCTTTTGAATATGCTAAATTGTTGCCATTGCAAGATGACCCAAGGATGGCACAATATGCTTATCCATAACCACTGTTAAATAGACAAATTATATTATTAATCCTTACTTAACAGCAATATTGCCTATATTTTTTCACCTACTAAATAATTGAGGCAGCTATTTGTATCAGCGATTATTCAGTGAAACTTGAGCTTTTAAGTTTAATACTCACATAAATATATTATTTTTCGACCCATGTTTAGTTTGTTAAACCCTTAAAAACCACACAATTAACATTTAGTACAAACATGAATCTTTATTTACAAGTATCATTTCTACAAGTATCAAACAAGAAACACACAAACAGTTAAATGGATTTATTAAATTAAAAAAACTCTTCTTACAGTATTATAGAATTAACTTAACAATATTACCACACTGTAGCAAATCCATGGTTGCCTTAATTTTTTAAGTTGAATGAAATTAACCTTATTGAACTTATATTATGTTAAAATGACTTAAAACTGCTT